ATACTATCAGCTCTACTGACCATATAGGAGTACTTTGTAGTTCTACAATTACAGACTGTAGACCATCTGTTTCCCTGCATACTTTGTTACCCTGTTCTTCAATGGTCAGGACCTCCACAGGACTCCCACAGAGCAGGTATTATTTGGGTGGTGGGTCATTCTCAGCACTGCAGTGACACTGACGTGGTAGTGGTGTGTTAGTGTGTGTTGCGCTGGTGAGAGTGGATCAGACACAGCAGTGCTGCTGGAGTTAAATGCTTGAAGCTGACAAAGAACAGTGGCAGTTGCTAATCAATGATTGAAGAAAAAAAAGAAGCAAATTGTGGAGAGCGCATGGATTTTGACTGGCCGTAACATGACAACGACAAGAGGAAAACGAGTTTAACCTTTTTTAATTCCTGGTTTAATTCCTGCTGCGAGTCAAGAAAGCTGTTTAGATTTTGTTGTAATTCCTCACTGGGGCCCCATAGTGGCTCAGGCCCATAAAACCTTGGATGACCAAGTCTGACTAGGGCTACGTTCACATTTCCAGGTTGTCATGGCACAAATCCAATTTATCCCCCTAGTGTGACTCTGATCTTTTGTTTCATATGTGGTACTAGATCAGATACGTATCTGATTTGTGGCTGTGCAACTTTAATGTGAACGCTCAGAACAGAATTCACATGATTTTTCCACTGCGTGTGCGCCATCATTCAGTGTTACTGTGGCAGCAGTGCCGAATAGAAGTTAAAGCCAGTAAACGGTGGAAAAGCAGCACATCTCACCCTTTTCGCCTTTGTCTCACTCTAATAATGAAGCTGAGAGCTGATCAGAGTTAATTATCTTCACAGCAAAGGCTCGTTCTGCTTGTTATTTTGTTTGCTGTTCTTGTGCATGTGATTTGTTCAATGACATTACTGATTATGATGTGCTCATGCGGGTCATTTCAGGACGCTGGTTCGTTGACATTAATGACAGATTTGAGTCACTTACCTAAATGAGTGTGAACCATTATGTCAGAGAGATCAGATCTGAGCAAAACATTGGATTTGAGCAACAAGGCTTGTATTGTAAATGTAGGCTATAACTAGCATAATGATGTCACTTTTCTACTGCAGGGTACCGGCTCAAGTCGACTCGACTCTGCTTACCTTTTTTGGTTCTAGGCAAACCTAGTACCTGGTTCTATTTTTAGGATCTCCTCCATCAATTTTCCAAGTAGGCTGAGCCGATACCAAAAGGTGACATGGAAAAACAGCAGAAAGCTGATTGGTTGGATCGTCACTGTTACTCTAAACATGCTAACGTTAGCTATCAGGTTAGCATAGCCTCTTGCGTCACCTTTGAGCAACAGAATAATCTTGTCTTCTGAACTCAAATGTAGTTTTTCCTAAACTCTCCTTGTTGAACAACATTTTTCTCCTTCATATCATGGCAGTTTCATCTGGCATCACTATGAAAGCCAGCTACATTGAGGGGCGCTACATCTGCAGTGGAAAATGAAGTAGCTGGTACCAAAAGCGAGTCGAGTCAGACTATGCAGTGGAAAAGTACTATTATTCATACTGCAAGTACTGTTTTAGTTTTTAGTACTATGATCAGCTCTGTGATAGCAGGTGTTTGATAAAATGAAAAGATATAATGAACACAGCAGTAGACTGAGCTCAGCTTGACACCAACTTTCCTTAAATGCCAAATATATAAACACATTTCTAAACTCTCATTCCTACTGAAAAAGCTAAAACTAAAGGTTTTAATTCTGTTTTGCCGTGGACATTATAGCTGCTAAAGTTAATAAACACATTTGTTCACTGCTAGTTCTCATTTTAGTGATCGTTTAGTAAATGTTATGGTGTCACTATGAAGGCAGCCTTCAAATATAGAGTTACTTTCACTCTGTAATTGGGGGTCTCTATGTTCCACTGTGGGCTGAACACTTAAGTCTTACTTTGGTATTACGTAATATAAGTTGACAATTTAGAACAGTGCTACTTACTTTTTCTATTTGCTTTGTTTTTTTCCAGTTTGAAGGGAAGCTAAAGCGGCTCAGAGTGGAAAAAAATTCTATTCACACTAGAAAACATCACCTATATATATATATATATATATATATATATATATATATATATATATATATATATATATACATACATACATCATCTAAACCGCTTATCCTTCTGGGTCGCGGTGGGGTGCTGGAGCCTATCCCAGCTGTCATTGGGCGGAAGGCAGGATGCAGACAGACAGACAGACATATACAGGCCCTTCTTGCTGTGAGGCGACAGCGCTACCCACTGCGCCACTGTGCCACCTATATATATATATATATATATATATATATATATATATATATATATATATATATATATATAAAGACTAACCAGCTTTGAAGCTTCGAGTGAGAGAAAATGTATTTGTTAACAGGTGAAAATGGATGACACATGACACCATAGAAATACAAAGGGATAAACGGACATAAATGCAAGGACACTACACCTTTAAATAGACTTTTTTGATAAGAGTTTTGTAACCTCAGACAACTCTTTTCTTTCCCTCCCTCCTTTTTAGATGTTTTTATGACTGTGACATTCCTTTATTGTATATATCAGGGGTCGCAACCCAAATGTTAAGAGCCATTTTGTCCTTTTCACAAAAATCAAACCACTTTGGGAGCCATAACATTTTATGTCCGTTTTACCATCCTGGCTGTAAATATGTCTCAGTATGTGTTGATGTCCTAGCATAGGCTAAAAAATATAATATAAATGAAAACGCAGACTTTCTTTGCTCTGCTTTAAGCTTTAGCTCAGCTATAGCTGCTTTTCTCGCATCTCTGGCAGGAAACTTTCCCACAAAAATAGAACAGTTTCTTGTAAAATGTCTCTCAATGTTCAATTTTAATGAAGCTGAAGCTTCTCATTCGCCAGCTTCTTGTTTGAATTCCCATTCCACCTTAAATGTGCCTTAGGTGCCAGAATGTAACTGCTGCACCATATAAGGTGGAACAGGAAATTTCAAGCAAGAAGCTGGTGTATAGGAAGCCAACTTCAGCCTCATCACTGATGAAAAACATTTTTCCTGAAGTATATTATTACATATTTGGCGCCTATTTCGCTGTAAACTCACTGTGTGAATGTGCAGAGCTGTAATTAACACGGTTTGTTGTCAAAAGCTGTAAGGATTTGTTTCTGTTAGCCTGTTAGCATCCAAATGCTAATCTTCGCTTAGCTCACAGTGCACTTCTTGCGCATTTCATGACGTGCAGTTTGGTAAGAACTAAAAATAAGACGCAGAACTACAAAAGTGATTGTGTGTCAGCCTGCACCAGTTGTGTAGGCTCCGATTATTTTAGTGGTTCCTGCTTCACCATTTAAGGTGGAACAGGAAAATTTAAACAAGAAGCTTCATGACTTTTTAGTGCAGTTTCTCGCTGCAGATTAAACATAGCAGGAAAGCAGCTGGAGTTATTATATACGTAAATAAGCCCAATCCAAATTATCAATGTTCATTTTAAATTTTTCATTTTGCCGTTTTGTTAGTTATTAGCTAGGCAAGACTGTTGTCTGCGCTGCTATAGTGACCAGCTGTCTGCACACCAACCTTCAGGGTTAAAAGGTAAATTAGCAGTTATACATTCACTCCAGCATTTAAGACCATTTATTGTTAAAACTGTGTTAGAATGATCAGCAGAGCTTTATTTTACTGCAAAGGAAGATTGTTTTTTCACCTAAAAATCTAATTCTGCTGTGGATCCGCAACAGGGCAGTAAAAGAGCTGTATGCAGCTCCAGAGCTGCATGTTATTGACCTCTGGTAAACACTTAGGTGTCAAAAGTGTAAACATGGCCATTTTGAGGGTAGAGCAGACTAAAATGAATCAACTATTTTCTGGATTGTTAAGTAGGTGTTCATTTTCTCACAAACTCAATGAACAGATACCATAACATGTTAAGTGTTTTTAGGGACCACTCAAAAATTGGGGTCCAAAGGGCTAATTAGAGGATCCCGGACTCCCCAGGACCCCCTGTATTTCACCCTTTGCTTTCACTTCAGACCATTTTCCTCCATTGTGTTAGATTCAGCCATGCGTTACAGGATTAAGGATTAAGGCATCATGACGAGGTGTTACAGAGTCTAATCTGAGGCTGATGTGTTTGACTATAACACAGTTATAGAGCACTGACGTTATTGCAAAGCTGGATTTGTTTACAGTAATCTGAGCAGGTTCAGCTGTTTATTTTTGCTTTTATGTCTGCAGTTTATTTTCTCTGTCTCAGTGCTGTTGTCCTGAAGAGCTGTTAAGTCTGTGTAGAGCTGGTTCTGGTGGGTGAAATGAGGAGTTTAGCCCCCCCGAGACATACTTTGACCCTGCTATTCGTTTAGTCTGGGTGTGGCACTGAAGTTACAGAGTCAAACACAGCACAGAGTTCACTGCGGTTTCACGCCACTGTCATATCTCAAACTCCAGGAGTCACCTGACCATGGTCGATGAAGCCTAAGAGAAGATCATTTGGGAACACTGTATGGGAATCTGCTACATAATGTTGATAACCTTGCCATAAACATGTCACAGATGTCACAGGCTGTAATTAGTTGCCTTGCTGTGGTAACCTAGAAAGACCCTAGCAATCATCTGGGATATCATAGCAACCACAAAGCAACACCCTAACAACCACCTGGGATACCATAGCAACCACTCAGCAACATGTCAGTAATCTTAAACTGCACAGTCACTCTACACTCTACATTTCTTCAGGAAATGCACTTTTCTATTTATGTATTTATGCAAATAAAAGTGCTCTAGAAAATGCTAAATTCATTTTCTTGCCTGTTAAAGCATTTATAGGTAGACAGTTCATTAGCGGCTGCTGGTTATAAAGCTTAATAAAGGCATTACAAGGCCGCCAAAAGTAACTGTAAGAGTCAAATCCCTTGCATGCGGATGCTGTCCGAGCATGTGAGCCTGTGAACCGCTCAGCTTCCTCCTTCGTAGTTTATCAGTTACTTCCATGTTGAGTTCAGACAAAACAGGATGCTTTAGTTTGTCTTTCACAGCGATTAATCTTTCATTTTTGTTCCTTAACATTTGAAACAGCATCGATTTATGAATACAACTTCGGGGTGAGTGTTGTTTCTGAGATGTTTCCTGTAGACGCTACTAAATTTACTAGAAAATTCGCTTGGACAAAACGAATGTTTTTAGCGAGGCTAATGCGCTTTCAGTGATCTAGTCATGTCATTAGCACCATGCTATATTCTAGATAGACTCTATATGGAAACTTTATAAATCAAACTACATGCTAAATAATATACAATAATATACTGGATAATATACACTTTTAAAAAGTTCTTCAAATTGATGGAGAACGTGGATATGGCTTTATTATTCTTGTCTCTTTTTTGCTTTTATATTTTAACCATACACTCTTAATAATACAGGCACCACGAAGGGTTCTTCACAGGATGTCACAGAACAACCTAAGGAACCATTTGTGTAAATGAGATGTTTAAAGAATGTCCATACAATGTAAAGGCTCCAGAAAGAAGCCTTAAATTACTAAAGAGCCTTTACATTATGTGAAAGTGCTTTGCACACTCACACATCTCATTTACACTCAAAGAATGGAACAAAATTGTTTTATCAGAGAACTTGTAGAGAGGGGAATTACCACTCTGCAATGTCTTCTGGGTTTCTATGCAAAATCATAGTTTATAAATGCTTAAACATTTTAAATGTAAAAGAATACAGTCATTCATCCCTGAACACAGAACAGCATAAAACATTTTAACACTGCTGTTATATTTTAAGAGCTTTTAAACTCGAGTTATAGGAGTTAAAGTATATAGGTAAGTACATAGGTAAGATTTCTTCATTTTTTTAGTGTAATACATCCTTCTACTTTCTAAAATAAAAGAAATGTTCTGGGCAAGTGATCAGAAACTATTTTAACTTTTCATTTTTAGCCGCTGAGCGCCATTTACCCCCATTCATTGAGGACTCTCTCGCAGGTGCCCTCTGCTGTTTAGTAGTCCTGTTTTTGATATAACAGGGGGGATAGGAAGTGGCCAGGCTCCTCATAAACCGGCTCTGGTTTTATTGGAAATGTCTGCGTGAATTAGGGTGTGCTTCATGTAAATGATATGTAAATGAGGTGCTCATAGGCTGGTACTTGATTTCATGCACTGATGCTGATTAAGCTCCAATCTCCACTTGTGTCTATGTCATGTGAATGCCACAAGTCAGACGCAGAGTTGTTCGTATGGCACTAAAGTTGGTCAAATCTGCGCTCTTTTTAATGCAACTTTGATAAATAGGGGCCAGTGTTAAGGGCAGCTACAGATAAAATATGTATAAAAAAATACAAACATGTATACACTGAATATATAGAATAACAATGTGTGTATCTTTCGCAGTGTTGATGTCGAGAACAGTAGATTATTCGGGATGAGATGCCATTTTAGGACGGCGGTGCAGACAGTGGTCAGCCTGATCATCCTCACCAGTGCCTATATCTTCACCAGGAGAGCGCAATGGACAGAACATATGGTAATACCAACAATGCTAATTTCTGCTAGCACCCTTATGGCATTCTAGTAGTATGTTAGCATGAAGCTAACGGTGATAAACATGAACTTTTTTGCCTGTTCTAGATTAAACACAGACATTTGAAGCTTGTGAAAGACATTCAACAGCTAGCTGAAACCTGCTTAGACAACAGCTTGTATTAGAGCTGTGCAGTATGACAAAATATATCGTTATGGTGATAAGTTACATCCAATACATTATGCTTTTCTGAACATATTGTGTATAATGTTAATACTTGGAGACCCTGACCAACTACATTTTTCATTATAAACAGAGCAAAATTGATCAGTTTAACTGGATTTAGTGCCAAATATTGACTAAAAATCGTCAGTTATTGATTGTATTTTTTTTAAAAAGTAGCACTGCTGGATCTTGCATCATGACAGTTTCTTGAAGTATCGCAATATCATGTCATATTTTTGCCACGTCCAGCTCTAGCTCTTGTTCACAGTCAGTAATGTATCTAGAACTTCCAGAAGGACATTTTTGTTTCCATCCACTGTAAATTAAATGATTGGTTGATCTCTCTGCCAATTCCTGATTATGTTTGTGGTTAATGCTAGGCCTTCAACTCCTGCTAGCATGCTAATACCTTCCTAAGCCTCAGTGTTTCAAATGATTAAAAAATTCAGTGTTCACTGTCAATTCATTATCAAATTCAATCAAAAATGTATCAATCCATATTTCTATTAGGATTAAGTTGACAGATATGCATACTGTAGCCTACATTCCAAAAAATGACAAGTGAAATCATCTTAAAACTAAAAACATCTTACATTTCTCATGTTTTGCATTTCATTTGAACGACAACAACATTATAATATTATCTAACTTATTTCTAAGTGTTTTCATCTCACTATATTGGCAGATAACTTTGCTTGTTTGAAGCATATTTCTTCAAATCAGCATAATGATCTGCCGTTATATTTCAATTGAAATCACTTAAAACAAGCAACAGACATCTAGAAATAACTCATAATACTGGGAAATATTACATATATTAACTAGATATAAGATTATTTTACTTGCCAGTGTACTGGTTTTTGCGGTGTACATGCTGTAATCATTTTAGTGAGTTTATTTTATGTAAACTGTTTATGTATTGTCAACTTTTTGTCATTTTTTTTCTTTTTTTTTCAATCCTGAATTTTTTGTTGGCCCTGAATTTCTGTTTCTGCTTTGGCTGCGGCTATGAAAGGTAGGGATGTGAATTGATAAAAGTTTATTGATAACAATGCCATTATTGATTCTGCTTATGGGTCAGACTCTTGAACGATTCTCTTATTGATTCTGGATTATTTTTTTTCTTCAAGGGTTGTTTAGTCATAAAAAAGGTTCTTTATAGAACCATGAACACTCAAAGAACACGTTGCATGATTAAAAGGTCTTTGCATTGTGGTAGGGATCTTCAGATAGGGAATGTGCTGTAGATTGTTCCATATAGAACCTTTTTTTTCTATATAGCACCAAAAAGAGTTCTGCTTTTATTACGAGCCTGAATTTTTCTATTAATTTTTTAGGGGATCATAAGCGCTACATTTTACAAACGCGCTGCAGAATCATAAAATGCGCTACAATTTCGTAGACGCTCTGCAAACTCAGAAAACACAATCAGATAACAGTTAGATTCCACTGTTCAAATCCCATTATTTGAAGTAAATGTGTCCCAACGTCTGAAAATCAGTGTGGGCAAATAAGAATTGTAATTTTTTTGCAGTTCAGTACTTTTTAGTGTTATATTGAAAATATGATGATTTTATGTGTGTACAGCTGTTCAAAGCTGTGTCGTACTGGCTGCATTTTTTTAAAATGAGCTAAAATTGTCACTGCCGAAACAGTCACTACTGAAACATTTGGTAAAGTTTGGGTGGAGTTATGATTGTTTTGGTAGTGACAAAATGGAAAGTTCAGCCATTAGCTTTAATAAAATAAACATAATTATGGTACAGAGTCACTCAAAGCAAAAGGATTTTTGTCTAAAATCTAAGATCATATAGATAGATACACATCATCTGCCTCTCACTGTGTGGAACTGGTGGATTCGTGTGTCTGTCGACACTTTGTGTGAAACTGACCAATGAACACTCAGGAAGTTACTAAGGATTGACCCATCACGCCGGAAACTACGTTCAGTTCACATCAGAGACACATGTGAAATGGCATGCAGAGAGTTTACAACTGCTGAGGGTGCTGCAGAAATTTTGGAAAGTAGTGATGAAAATAACAGAGCATTTTGATATGAAACATATAAGTATAATGTTATATGAAGAGCCTTTAAAGGAGAATTTAATAGGCATGTGATATTAGCATGACATGAAAAGTAGTTTTAGTGACTTGGTCAGTGGCTGAGTTAAGCATATTCAAATCAAGTCAAATCAAAGTTTATTTATAGAGTGCCTTTTTAGAACAGGGAAAGAGGAAGAAGCCTCAAAGGGGAACCCATCTTTAGATTTAGATCATATGACTATGACTAATCACTACTGTTAGAAGCCAATCAGAGGAACACTGAGAAACAGATCTGTGAGAATCAGTCACTGTTAGCAGTAAAAACCAATGACTGCTGTTAGAAGAGAATCACAGAGAACCATGAACGTCTGAGACTGTTAGAGCCTGTAATGATGATCTGTCAGTGTGAATATGAGAAGAGGGTGGGTGTATTGTGTGTATTGTGTATTGTGAGGCAGGTGAATGTCTATGATTAGATAGTTTAAGTCTGTGCATGGATACTGTCACTCAGACAGCCAGGTTTTTTTTTTTGCCCCACCACTTTGTATGAAAGCATCTGCAAAGCAGCTATTTTATAAAGTGTTAAAATAATAACATTACTGACTGTATTATTTAGTATTGTAATTAGGATTGTATTATAATTATAACATTTCTGATGATCAGTTATTACTGATCTAGTTTCAGGAGACTCGGTGGATTAGATACAGCACTGCACTTCTGAATTCCAGCAGAGAGCCGTGCCCGCAGGACGCTGTGAAGAACTCGCTGTGTCTCAGTGTCTCCGTCCGCCTGCTGGCAGGAACCATCCAGTCAGAGCAGAGTGAGTGTTTCTACTCAGTGTCCAGCAGAGGGAGCACTTTCACTAGAGTTAATACACTCACACAATCAGTCTAACATACACTCTGGAAAAAGATGGTTCTTTAATGGTTCTAAAGAGAACCATGAACACTCAAACAACCCTTGCATGATTAAAGGGTTCTTTGCACAGTGAAATGGTTTCTCAGATTGATGGAGAATGCGCTGTAGATGGTTCTTTATAGAACCTTTTTTAAAAGGTTATATATAGCACCAAAAAGGTAGGTATATAGGTCAAGCTTGTACCAATAGCACCCATAATGTATTCTCAAAACACACAGAACGCATTCTCCATCAATCTGAAGAACGCTTTTACTACGAAAAGAACTATTTAATCATACAAAGGGTTTTTTTAGTATTAATGGTTCTATACAGAACTGTTTTCTTTACTAAAGCACCCTTGAAACTTTTGTACCATACATTTGATTTTCACTCTTACTTTTCAATGACTGATTCATCAAGCTTTAGCAGAGCTCAGTAACACTAAGATTAATAACTGATCATCACAATGATTTATCAGTCTATTCAGACTTTAGCAGAGCTCAGTAACACTGAGATTAATAACTGATCATCACATTGATTTATCAGTCTATTCAGGCTTTAGCAGAGCTCAGTAACACTGAGATTAATAACTGATCATCACATTGATATATCAGTCTATTCAGGCTTTAGCAGAGCTCAGTAACACTGAGATTAATAACTGATCATCACATTGATTTATCAGTCTATTCAGGCTTTAGCAGAGCTCATAATAAAATTTACAACAGCAGAGTTTTCCCCATGTGCCTTATCAATATGCATTCTAAATGTATTCTAAATATATTCTGGATATATTACTTTTGTAACTGAATACAGTTTGTACAGTGTATTCAGTATTCAGTCGTCACTACTTTTAAAAGTATTTTGCCCAACAAAATTATAACATGCTTTTGTATTCACAGTCCATAACTGTGACTTGTTTTGGTTCTTTTCTAGGGTTTCTGACTGTGGGTCTCTCATCTGTGAAGAGGAATAAGGAGAGTTATCTTCTGAGCACCCTGAACTCCATCTTCAGCCAGTCCTCGGAGAAGGAGCTGTCCCAGATGGTCGTCGTGGTCCTCCTGGCAGATTTTGACCTCGGCTGGGTCCAGGAGAGTTTGAACAACATTGTGCAGCAGTTCTCCACCAGGCTGAGCCAAGGGCAGCTGCTGGTCATCCACGCTGATCAGGAATTTTATCCTCCTCTTACAGGGCTGAAGAGAAATTTTAATGACGCTCCTGACCGAGTAACCTTCCGGTCCAAGCAGAATGTGGACTATGCCTTCTTGGTTGACTTTAGCGCTGGTCTCTCCCAATACTACATCATGTTGGAGGACGATGTGGACTGCTCTAAGGGTTTTCTGACCTCCATTCGTGGCCACATCAACTCGCAAGGATCTTCGCCATGGGTCACTCTTGAGTTCTCCAAGCTAGGATACATTGGGAAGCTCTATCGCTCCAGCAACCTTCCACAGCTAGCACAGTTCCTCTACCTCTTCTACCAGGAGATGCCTTGCGACTTCCTTTTGTCCCACTTTCGCACTTTACTCATGCAGGACAAGTCCATCCGCTTCCGCCCATCCCTCTTCCAGCACATGGGAACCTACTCATCCTTCCAAGGTACGCACAACCGTCTGAAGGACGATGACTTCCACCAGGATCCTGCTGACAACCCACCAGCAGATATTCACACAGACATTGAAGTTTTTGAGAAACATGGTCCAGATGAAGCTTATGGCCAGGGTGCGGATTACTTCTGGGGGAAGGGACCCATCAAAGCAGGGAACTATTTCCTCATAGCCTTTCATGAACCTGTGGTCCTCTTCCATATCCTGATTCAGACAGGGTTAGATGGGAAGGACTTGCTTGACTCTGCTGATGTGGAGGTTGGAGAGATGGTTCTGAAGACAGGAAGTGGAGTGGAGTGCTCAGGAACTCACATTCTGGGTTCCTTGCGGGAGGGACAGTTGGAGCAGAAGAATGTAACACTGAACAATCCAGTGTTATGCTTAAGGATTAGAGTCACTGCTGGTCAGTCAAACTGGGTCATCATAAGAAACATCCAAGTCTGGACTGCTGAGAAAAAGGATGAAAAGTCACCTGCGGTTTGAAGGACAACTCAAGCCATGTTGTCATGGCCCTCCGTCAAGATCACCACATAGACCTACAGAGCTGGGAGCATTTTACAAACACAACTAACACAAAACATTTCCAGAGCGACCAAACCAAGACCAGACAAACGTCATCAGAGCACAGAATAAACTGCATGATAAATGCATGAACGGGGGATATTCTGTTACATGGCATACATGACAATGTTGAAATTCTGGGTCAATGCTAATAACTTTAGCTTTAATGATCTAGTCAGCTAATACATTCCGGTGCTCATAGTGGTGATGTAAAAGTGTGGAATGACTTTATCCTCACCTTGAAGAGTGAACAATTTACTAAATTGTGCTTCAGGCTGATGGTTCCTCAGTTACCTTAGCTTCCACCACGAGTGTTAGCAAAGGTAGAGGAGAAGCACAAACTGTTCAAACTCAAATAAACAAATACTCACTGCTGGTGTTACTGCACCTGTAAGAAGTTACAGCTTTTCTTGTTTTTGTAAGACCCCTGATGTGCCTCAATGGATGTGTTTTAGGGGTGCAGGAAAAAATCGATTCTTAGATGCATCGTGATGCGGACGTGAATGATTCTGAATCGATTCACAAATGTCAAAAATCGATTTTCTAAATATTTAATTTATGACGTAATGTTGACGGAACGCAAAGGGCAGAACTTGAAAGTGCGGAAGTGCAGCGCCTGGACAGTCTGTAGTGGCACACAACAAAAACACAACTGGGTGAGGGAGAAATCCGACCGGCTCCCTCTGCATTAAAGCCAGGTTAGATCAGGAGTCACAACACAAAGAAGAGACATGTTGTCCTTTCAACAAAAATCAAACCACCTTGGGAACCACAACATTTATGTGCAGTATGTCTCAGTATGTGATAATGTCCTAGTATAGACTAAATAGTATAAACGAAAACGCAGATTTACTTTGCTGTGCTTTAAGCTTTAGCTATAGCCACTTTCCTCCCATCTCCTCCAGAAAACTTTCCCTCAGAAGTAGATCAGTTAAATGTCTCTCAACGTTCGACTGTTTTACGAGGCTGAAGTCGCTTCTTATTCTCCAGCTTCTTGTTCAAATTTACCCGTTCCACCTTAAATTCTGACTGAGGCGCCGAACGTAAATGCGGCACCATTTAAGGTGTAACGGGAGAATTCAAAAGAGAAGCAACTTCAGCTTCGCCACTTTTTAGTGTGTGACAGTCTCTCGTTGCAGATTTAACGGACCAGGAAACCAACTGCGCTGCTTATAAATGCGAATAACGCATCACTGCTATGTGACCTGCAGTCTGCATGCCGGTTCTCAGTCGTTGCGAAACAGGGCTTTCGCACTATGTTGCACACGTCCCGTCTCAAAGACACTTTACTGACACAGCGATCACCTCCGTCTCTACAACGAGACCAAAACTGAAGTTATAAAATTACTAAAGAAAACAAGTAGAACAGCTGTAACATGTGCTGCGTCCACATCCAATGCCACTGGATCTTATTTCAATGTAACTGCACATTTTATCATATTTTAAGCAGCTTCTCGTGCTCCAAACAAGAGCACTGAATGAGAGCCTTCTAGTTCACTTGCCACATCACTTCCATTTGATTTATTAATAATAGATATTGGAAGTAAATTCATTATGGATCATTACAAATACTTTGCTTTAAAAGTACTGAGTCACTTAGTTACTTTAAAATGTATATTGTCTCTATATTCTGTGTATATTTTGTGTATATTTAATATATTTCTGTTGGTTTTTCTTGCATTTTTATTTTTACTTATTTACTTTCTGTAGTGTGATTGCCTGTGCCTCACCACAAGCATTTCAATGCATAAATGTCCTGACATGTTGTGCATGTTGTGCAACTGACAAATAAACTTGAAACTTGAACTCAAAACTTGAGCTCACACAGTGAGAAAATATAAATGCTATATAGAAAAAAAAATGCATTGAGATGCATCGATAATCGTTTTATAATCGCATCGCAGCCCTCTGAATCGTAATCGAATCGAATCGTGAGGTGCCTAGAGATTCCCACCCCTAATGTGTTAACTGCTTTCTTTTATTATTTATACTGTAGTGCTTGTGAAGAATAAAGCATGGAAACATAGCACAGCAAATTTTTTTTATTGTGAACAGCAGCACTTGAGAACCACCTCACAGCACTACTGAAATGGCCAAGATAGCAGGCAGGTCACTTCTAGCTATACATTCCACGTTGATGGTAGGCAACACTACCCCACATCCCAGCACAAAATAGACCAACTAACACATTTACACCTCTTTAAGCTAACAGCCATATATAAAACAACTATATATAAAATTAAAGTTTATCTTACTGCGAGTCCAGCACTCCCATGGTGCTCTGCATGTTGCCGCTCTGCATGTCCATGGCTGAGCAAGCCAGTTGCGGGAAGCTTCAATATTTTAGCCTTATGTGTAGGTGTAATTAAGACGTGCAGGTTCATGTGAACTAATTCCAAACAGGAACAACACTGAAAGTCATCATGGGAGGATTTTGGAGGACAGTGTAAACAGGTTTCATCCTTTCAGAAGATGGTGGTGATGTTAGCTGGGTGCTGGTATCTGTGACTGGTTGTCCTCTAAGAACCATCATCATTCTCTGTTACGGTTTGTTAGCAAAGCTAATGAATGAATAAACAGTTCACAGTGACTCTTTGTTCTGCATCTGCACATTATTTGTGTTTTTCCTTCATCAGTGGACTCTTAATGTGGGTTATATGTGTCGTACTGAGTCATGAAAGCCATGTTTACTTGTCTGAAGTTAATTAGTTGTGCTGTGGTCTGATTCGGGCTGTGTGCAGGATTAAAGTTCATTTCTCCACGTAGCTACGACAACCACGTTCGTAGAAACAAACTGAGACGGCTGTGTCAGATATCAGGATTTTCTGCCCTCCTCCATGAACAAGCGAGCAGCGTTTCATACCTGACCCAGTTTCCTTCTGCCGACTCCTGATTAGAATGGGCCTCATTCACCAACCGTTCAGAGAAAAATTCTTCTTAAAACCCACTTACGCAGTTTTAACAAGGATTCTGACATTGAGCAATGTTTTGTTTGATTTGTTCTTAGGTACAGAATCTACACACACTCAAGAGTCGAGTTCAACTTCTTGGTGTTTGTCTTAAGAACCTTCACCGTTCAGCTCTCCTGAATCCGGTCGCTGGTCCACACTGGATAGCAAAACAATAACACAATAGCAATATGAACAGAGATTGAGATTTTACAACCCATATATTAGTTACTTAAATTAATTAAAACATTCACTATAGAGAAAAGTAGAAAAAGAGTACAAAGGTAAGAACAGTTCTGCACTTCAAGCAAACTTGGGAAGATGTTGGAGGATAAGGCTCAGTGTAAGTTGGACCTTAAAACCCTGTGGTAAAGATACAACAATGATTTTAAGATCCAACTGTACCTTACATGGTTTTATGCCAGGAGAAAGGCATGCATTTGAAACTAATGTTTTAAAACAACTATTAATAAAAAGCCTGGACTTAGACAAGGTGTGTGGAGTCAATACAACTTATACAATTACACTTACAATACAAAGTATAATTGCAATAGATTACCTTGGTACAATTATATTCCCTAACCAAAAGTACTAAAGATGTACCCTTGATGGTTCCACCCCAGAGACAGTTTAGTACCTTTTTTTTCGAGAGTATATGACAGTGATCATTTCTGCTGTTTTGCATTAGTATTCCAGCATTATCTAGGGTTAAAGAGCAGAACTTCAGTTTTTTGAATTTATTTACAACCCCATTTTCAAAAAAAACTGGGACGCTGGGTAAAATGTAAATAACAACAAAATGCAATGAGGTGCAAATCATTTAAACCCTATATTTAATTTAAAATAGTACAAAGACAAAAAATCAAACGTTGAAACTGAGAAATTTTAATGTTTTTTGAAAAATATATGCCCATTTTGAATTTGATGGCAACAACACGTTGCAAAAAAGTTGGGACGGTGGCATGTTTACCACTGTGTTTCATCACCTCTTAACAACACTCTGTAAGTGTTTGGGAACTGAGGAGACTAACTGCTGTAGTTTTGAAAGTCATTCTTGCTTAACATAGGATTTCAGCTGCTCAACAGTTCGGGGTCTCCTTTGTCATATTTTTCATTTCATAATGCGGCAAATGTTTTCAGTGGGTGACAGGTTTGGACTGCAGGCAGGCCAGTTTAACACCCAGACTCTTTTAATATGGAGCAATGCTGTTGTAATACATACAGAATGTGGTTTGACGTTGTCTTGTTGAAATGAACAAGGCCTTCTCTGAAAAAGACGTATCTTTTATTGATATTATGTACTGTAGATGATGAAAAGCAAAAGTTCTTTGCTATTTTACATTGAAAATTGTTATTCTTGAATTGCTGCACTATTTGCTCGCACATCTTTCACAGAGTGGTGTGCCCCTGCTCATCTTTACTTCTGAAAGACTCAGCCTCTCTGGGAGGCTCTTTTTACACCCAATCATGTTGAACACCTGTTGCCAGTTAACCCCAAGGTGTTTTTTCAGCATTACACAACTTTACCAGCCTTTTGTTGCTCCAACTTTTTTGGAACACGTTGTTGGCATCAAATTCAAAATTGGCATATATTTCTCAAAAAACAATAAACATTCTCAGTTTTAACATTTGATATGTTGTCTTTGTACTATTTTCAATGATATATATATATGTATATATATATATTTGTCATTGAAAATAGTACAAATGATTTGCACTTAGGAACCACAATTCTTTATTTACACCAATTGCAGGGAATTATAAATTGCAAAAATTACAGGACAGCTGAACACAATTTTAACTTTGGTTGGCTGCTAATGCAGTTGATGATCTTCAAACATCTCCAAGCACTCTAAATCTTCTCCACAAATGATCCATCAGGTCAGATATGCAGCTGTTTTTACCTTCAGTGAGTGAAATCTGGTATTTAGGTTCTTAAAAATGAGAACTGTGCAGAAGCTCATTAGCCCTGCAAGTTAAATTAATGTAGTTTTGGACCAAAGTGCTGCAGAGATCCTCATCCAATGCTTTGAAATTAGTTCATGAAGGTCTTGCTAATTAGCTGATGGGCTGAATCATGTGAGTCTAATGAGGCTTTGTGCTGAAGTTGGCAGAGTTTTCACCCATGAGGACTGGAGCCTGACAAACATGGCATAGAAGAAGACGCGGAAAACATTGTGCATACAGGCAAATGCTCTTTATTTAATAGGCACTTCAACATCAAGTCTTCATGCAGACCCCAAGTGCGACCCCAACATAATACACAGGGAAGAGCTGACGCAGGAGGACACAACATTCCACGAGGGTTGACAGTTCTAACCACTAGTTGACTGCAAAGCCCACCCTCCTCAGATGCAATCACTCCTAAACCACACAATGACAACAGGGGCTCCTCTCGAGCACCACTTTGCATAGCCACACCCCCTAAGCTCCTCATTCAGCGTGGTGCCCAAAATATTCAAATGTATGCATAAAAATCATTTTGGGTTTGCTGTCTTGCTGAAGGATGATGCTTCATCAACTGATATTTGAGGAGCATTGTTTTAGAACATCAGCAGTTCCTGAATTTCTCCACACTCCTCTTTCCATCACTCTGGTGCAGGTTGATCTTCATCTCATCTGTCCACAAGACCTTATCTACAATGTTTTCTGTTCATTTAGTTATAATGATAACAATAAAAATTGAAACATTGAAAACATTAAAACTTATTTAGCGATTTTCATGAACCGAAAGATGCTTACAATCGTAACAGAGCACAGCACACTGGAAGACAAACAGGAGAACACAGAAGCAGACAGCAGAAAAAAAAGAATCATTTATCCTGCTCCCGCCCGTGACTGAAATGTTTTGTCCCGGTCCCGCCCGCAGTTCCGTCAAGGTGAACTGACATCCAATGTCTGACATAGTCTATTCACAAATACATTATCCTCTGCTGAAATAACCACAAAGTGGTTATTTTTGGTGTTTTGCAGGGCAGCTGTAGCTGCCAGACTGAAGGCTCTGCCGTCTCTGTAACTAAGAGAATCTGAGTGTTGTTCACGTGATCTGCTACTTCACAGCTCTTTAAAATTACTTTACTCATTTTAACTGTTTTACTGTTATCATCTTATATTGTTTATATATGATTTAGTGCTCGTTCTTCTCTATGTAGGTGGGATTTCTCTTCATGCATGCTTCATCCTGCTCCCGCACACAACACTGAAAATTATTGTGGTGGGTCCCATGGGAATCCCCATGTGGTAGGAGTGCAGACCTCTAGGCTAGAGAGAAGAGATGGGTTTTGAGATTTGTTTTAAATGTGGAGAGAGAATTATACTGAAGGAAGAGAGTTCCAGAGACCAGGAGTAAATTGAGAGAATGCTCGATCACCAGAAGTATGAAGGTTAGATGGAGGAATGGTCAGCAGATCAGCTGAAGATGAGCAGAGAGTGCAGGAAGGTTTATAAGGAAGAGGGAGATAAGACAGGAAGGAACTCAAGAAAATGTGGTACGTTAAAGGAAACCAATATTTTTGGCAACGTTGCGAAGATGAAACACAGTCGTTTAAACCAAACTTTATCCAGACCCGTTTCTGAACACCCTGAGGACCCTAAGCAACATCCTACTTGGAGGCCCCAAACCTCACCCAGCCCCAAAAATGTTCTTTTGTTTGCAAGATTAGAGCCAGAATTAATGCTTTGTTAAATTTGACAAAGAAGAAAAGTACGAAAATCTTTGTGCTTTACACAAATGATATGAAGTGACCCTTTCTGTTTTTTTACGTGTTTTGCACCTTTATGTTAAACCTTCTGATCTCTTGCTGATGTTTTCTTCTCTTTAAGGTCCATTGGAAACATCTGTGCTACATTGAGGAGGATGGTCTTGATGTGCTCAATGTTTTTTGTTTTCATGATTCATGGTTTACCATGGGTTTGCTGTTGCTATTTCTCACCATCTTGTTCTCACTTAATTAATAATACTAAATTATTAAATAAGTACTAAATAGTATTAAAAAGTACTAAATAGTTGTTTCGGAAGCGTGTTGTGTTTTGTCGCTGATTGATTTATTCTCATTTTTTTCAGACTGAAGATGGTCTCCTTTACTGACATTGACCCTATATTGTGTTTTCGTTGATAAACAATAGCAACAGGTGCCAGTTTTTGTTAGTTGTCTTATGTATGAACTATGCAGGGACACATAGCTGAACAAGAAATGACTGAGAAGCCAACTGTCCAGTTACTTATGGCCTCCTGAATTGGGCAGAATTCCTATATGGTTCATCAGATTATTTCATGTCAATCACATATGTTGAAGTACAGAGCTAAACCAGCACCAAATGTGTTACTGTCCAATTATTTATGGAATAAACTGGTTTTCTTTCCTTGCCCAACTGGAATAACAGTCTCACAGTACAGAGTGAAGCTGAGACTGTAACTTTATCACCCCCTAGTGGCTGTGAGGGTTAAATGCAGGTGTACAGTTTCCAATCTAGTAAAGATTAAACTCTTGGGTGATATTTTCATCCCTGATTGCTGCAGATGTGCCTCCGTTGTCCTGTCCTAGCCAGATAACTTAAGCCATAAGTCTAGTCTGTTCAATAGGAGAAGAGATAAGGGGCATTTCTATTGGACAGTTCTCACTTTGGATTTAAGCTATACAGCTAAATCTAGCTTTATGGGCCTATATCACAGAAAAACCTTAAATGTGAAATCTGTTTAGTCTCCATCATGATTTCAGTACGGACTGAATTTAGGACAGTAGCTATTACAGAATAACAGTTCCTAACTTCATAATCTTATCATTAACTCCAGATAAGAAAACAGTATTACACAAACATCCTGACTAGACTAAACCTCCTAAATACTGTCCTAACTTTAGGATAAACTCCAACAGTGTCCTAGCGTCTGTTTAAGCATCCGTTTCTATAATTTTTAGGCAGCTGTGACAGGCAGCATAGTTCACTACTAGCATAATGACACTACTTTTAATTATACTGTAAAAATGCTGCTTTCACTTGTGTTCCCTCATATTACCTTTGTGTGTTAATGTTGATGATAAAATACTACAGTGATGGTGGTGAGTAATGAGGAGACAGAATTGAACGTGTGTCTGTTTATTAGGAGGAATAATGTTAGTGTGCTTGGCTAAAGCATTTGGGAAATGGAGACTGAAACTGGGGAGCGGTGATGCTCTGATAAACAGCAGGGGGCACTCTCACAGTATTCACAACTTACAGTTCATCACACTTTAGTTTTGTTTGTCCTTTTTTACATCCATAACAGCAGCTGTAACATTATTTTGATTACATGTTTATGTTTCAGCTGTGTGTGTATGGTCAGTTGCTAAGCAACAGACATGACAGCTGATTGTTGACTTCAGTCGAGTAGGTTAAAATTCCTACATTAAGATCAGATTTGCTTCGGTAATACAAATTTCTTACAAATCTTATCTTCACCTGTCAGATCTTAACTTAGGACTAAAGAGAGGAAGTTTAAGTAAAAAAGAAACTAAATCTGGGAAAACTAAAATGAATGAAATTCATGAAGTGGATTTTGAATTTATCTAGAATAATGTCAAATTTGAGAGTAAAATCTAGATCGTTGAAAGCACCTATTGTCATCCTTTGTCGTTTGACCTGGGTGAGTATCTGCCTTGTGTTACCTCCTGATTGTCTGAGCGATCTGTCCGTGTATTCAGAGATCAGGGCGGTTAGAGACACCAGCCATAAAAAAGCAGCAGGTCACATTTCCCCCTGACCTACTTTTTCTAAACCACCCTCTCTGGTTTCCTGCCCCCCAGCTACCATGCTCGCTCACTGTGCTCTGCCGAACCCGCTGGTGAACTGCGGTGGGGTAACCAATTGCACAACTGTATCACTTATGTCAGACAACTCGACTATCCATCATCTTCATCAGCCAGCGACTGGCTCACAGTAACGAAAGATAGATGACGAACGACACCCTACTGACCCTACACTCCTCCTGATGCCACTTTGATGAGACCATGGCAAACGGAGTGACCATGAGTGACCGAGCCATCTTCCAGAATATAGCACCCTTGACAGCCTGCTGTGAGAACCACAGGATGAAATTCAATTTACATTAATTCATTTCATTCATCCAGCAAATGTTCTTATTCAACAAAACTTACAGAACCTGTGAACTGACCCCAAATACTCAAACAGTGACAGCATCAGTTTCCGAAAGCCTTTTAAATGTTTATAGAAAGCCCACATAATGTAAAGCTTCTATACAAATGTCTAGAACCTATATTAATATTACATGGATGTTCTTTAAACTTTAAAAAGGTTACAATGATGGTTTTTTGAAGAACCAACCGTTGAAACTTTCACTAGGTGACGTTGTCCAAAGACCCTTTTGCAGCACCTTTATGTTTAAGAGTGTAAATAGTTCTTGGCAGGAAAAAGAACTTTTACCTTGTGTGAGTCAGAAAAGGTTCCAGGAAGTGTTCTTCGAGTGATACCATAGAAAAACCACTTTTGGTTCCTACATAACTGCGTTTGACAAAAAAACAATATGAGTGTGAAGAACCTTTTAGATGTTCAGAACAAATGTAAGAGTTCTTCCTAGAACTTTTACACCATACAGAGTTTTTTTTTTAAACTTTTGTTCTTCACACTCTCACCTTAATGAGAAAGAATCATCCACTAAAAGGTTGTTTAAGGAGCCCAAAATAGTTCTTCCGTAGCAGGGAATGGTTCTACACAGAAACATGAACACTCAAAGAACCATTTGCATGCTTAAAGGTTTCTTTGCATGGTGAAATTGTTCTTCAGATTGATAGAGAATGTGTTGTATATGGTTCTACATAGAACCTTTTAAAAAGGGTTCTATAAAGCACCAAAAAGGGTTGGAAACAAAAGAACATTTTGGTGCTGTATAGAACCAACACATTCTCCATCAATCTGAAAAACCATTTCATCATGCAGAGAACCATTTAAATGGCTCTTTGAGTGTTCATGGTTCTATGTAGAACCATTGTTTTTACTAAAGAACCCTTGAAGAACCATCTTTTTTAAGAGCGTAGATATAGAACCTTTAAAAGTTTGCTTTTTCCATTATGAACTACCTTAACGGTGCACTTAAACTAAATTTATTTCACTGAAATGAATTAACTATGTTATCTTTTCATGTTTTTATTGTAAACAATCATAGTTGTAAACATTTCCACTGAGTTACAAGATACTTTTATCCAAAGTAACTTTAATGATTGTTCTAAGAAACAAACATTTCTGAAGGTGAACCTTTGCGCACAGCAATAAGAAAATCATTTAGTTGCTGTAGAACCTTTTTAATTTTTAAACGTTTAAAGTATTTTTACATTCACATGTGGTTCTTGTACTGTTCCAAAGAACCCTTTTGTGGTACCTTTATTTTTAAGACTTTCTGACATAAAAGATGAGAGCTTTAAAACAGCTTGTTCTAAACGGCTAAATATGAATGAAAGTCAATGTAAATTAATTTTATACATTTCTGTCCTTGCAATGAAAATGTTTGGTGTTCCATGAATTCCAGCAAATGAAGAATTATTCCTGCATCTGCTTTTCAAAGCAATAATTCAGCAAAAAATCTTAATCCAAGTTTCCACTGCACAACCCTTACTCCACATGTAGTTGTAGTTGAAGTTTACTTCTTTAGTTTTAGCACTGGATCTACAAGGCTAATGTAGCTAACAAGTAATGGAAGCTTATACCTCAACAATTAGCATGATGCTAAATGCATACTTTTATCATCACACAGCATGTGGAGTTGTTCAGTAATGTCTAATACACTTGATTATGTGGTTTCTGATTATATATAAAGAGCTAGATTGTTGATAGTTAACTACAGAAGAACTGTAAATCAAAGTAAAGAATGTGTTACCAGCTTCAAATGTCACTGCTTATGTAGAGCTGCTTCATTTCGGGGGTGTGGATCTTGAGGAAGCTACAATGATCCTTTTGCTTCCCGAAAGCCAAGAACAGCAGACCATTTAATCATTTTTCCTCATTTTTCCTCCAACCAGTCATCTTCCAATCCAACAATTCTAAAACAGACTGTCTGCAGAAACAACACTCCACATCACTTCAGTTGGAATGGGTGGGGCTAAACTGCTGTAGGCCGAATGGGTGGAGCTAAACTGCTGTAGATTGTTGGGGCTACACTGCTGTAGGCTGAATGGGTGGGGCTTAACTGCTGTAGGCTAAATGGGTGGGGCTAAACTGCTGTAGGCTGTTGGGTGTGGCTAAACTGCTGTAGACTGTTGGGGCTAAACTGCTGTAGGCTAAAGGGGTGGGGCTACTTTTTTTACTGTTACTTTTTTTAAACTTTGGCAAAGTTTATAAACGACATCAAACAGTGAGGAAAATTCCAATGTTCCAGTCATCTGCATAAAATGTAATACATGCACAAGGACCCTAATGCATCGTATTTGGGAGCGTGAATTTTTGCAAAGAAAAATTCTGAGCTTTAAGAACACGTCAAAAATCTGACAGTCTTAGGACCTTTCTCAAGAACACATTTAAGAACAAAAAGGATATTGCTGTATGAGGCTCATTGTATTCAAGAAACCAAACACACAATGAAAACAATAAGTATTTTTTTCATATGATCTGGGGACAGTTTAAAAGTTTCCTACGGGAAGAAAATGTAGTATTCTAGGTACTTCCTCTCCACTCTGCACTTATCTGTACCTGTGAATATTTCTGACCTACTAATTTGAGACTGAGAGTCACTAGACCAGGAGATATGTGCATCAGGGAGGGCAAAGGCGAAAACAACAAACAAAAAGACTAACACACATCCCACCCTTATCTCAAACAAAATAAAATAAAAATAAAATACAGCTGGTAAAAAAGGACAGGAGAAAACAGTGGGATCAAATATAATATTCAAATACAATATAATATATGGCACCTACAGCTCCTGTAAGACTTAGTTGATATTAATATAGGTAGAAAGTGTGCATGATTGGCCTACTAAATTGTGGCAGCTTTTCAGAAGAAGCCTTTTGAAAATTTCTCCCACTCTTTGATATCGTTTTTTTTTTCCATTTTTTTTAGTCCAGTTGTTAACAAACTAGCTAAAAAATGCCATTGTTAATGGTCAATCAGTGGTGTGACTTTGATTTGTTTTGGTTTGTTTGGGGACAAGGAGGAGGGAACGGGGTTGTGGACATGCAACAGGACAAACTAGCAGTTTGGCTTTATTAGACAGATACAGTGGAGAGAGAGACAGGATCATGGAGCCCATATAAGCAGCTACACTTTGGAAAGAAACCCAAAAAAACACAACCCGTGTCTACCAATACTTGTAAGTGATTTTACAGAAAAATAAGCCAAAAGTCCAGGCTCTTTTAGTGTCGCACTAATCGCAGAGCACAATCATACACACGTCCCATGCTGTGGCAAGTTCAAATAACATTTTATATATATATATATATAAATATATATATATAAATATAAATATATATATATATATATATATATATATATATATATATATATATATAATAGCAGTGTCTAATTAATAAAACTTTGGGCCTGCTGGTCGTCTAAGGGGTTAACTGACATCATATATATATACATACACATATACATATATGATTAATGATGAATGGACGAAAAAAGAAATGGCCAAAAATGACTTGGAAAAAAGTCTGGTTCCACTGACTTATATGAAAAGTAAAGTAGGTTTTTTCCTTCTCCTTTTTTCCTTCTTATTCTGGAGATACGAGGTTTTCTTCTGACAACAGTATATATATATATATATATATATGTATATATAATAGCAGTGTCTAATTAATAAAACGTTGGGCCTGCTGGTCGTGGAAGGGGTTAACTGACATCTTTTTCACTCACTTAAATATTGTTATAGTTTCCAGGACAGTTGCGTTTGTGTGTATGTTTTATCAGTGACCGGCGCTAATATGTTTGTGGTGACTGAGTTCTGGAAGCATGCTCCAGCTGCACATGTCCAAGGGGACAGTGGGGCGGGGGTGGGGGGGTATTAGGTGGGATTAAAGTGGAAAAATGTGTCAGCTTTCCTGGTGCAGGTGAAGGACCCACACGTGAACGATGATGCTCTGACTCTGACCACACTCATTATCGCAAACCACTCTGAACTGACCCTCACTTTTACATCTCCGTATACCAGAGAACACTCACTTTTACATCTCCGTATACCAGACACGGCTCGATTCGTCAAACGAGACTAAATCAAACATGAGCTTATATCATTATTCTCAACTGAAATCACTAATAAACAGGTTTATCTCTCAAGAACTGCACCTTATTATTGAGTGTTCTCAACTATTACTGTATTTATACACTGCATATGGAAAAAGCCTGATAGTAAACAGTTTTCTTTAGAAAAATAGGGCGATTCATGTGGAAGTTAATCTGTTTTTTGAAGCTCTTGAAGGTGAACTTGCTGATATTTCTTAGCCATTGTGTGAAATAACAATGTTAACTGTTATGCCACTAATTAATGTCATATTTTATAAACATAAAGGCCTTTATCATTCAAAAAACATGCTTTTGCATGTGCTATGCTTGGTCATTTTACATTAAAAGAACAGTTAACAGATAATTAAGTGACATCACTCTTTCTTTGCAAGCTACAAAAAATGAAAATGTCAAATAACAGTTGAAACATCTTGTTCTGCATATTAATAAAAGATAAATAACATAAATAATCTGTGTCCACCTTTCATAGTCTATCGTTAAATCAAAAGACACTGAGCTTGTGGACGGAATAACGTGAACACCCCCCCTCCCGCCACCCTCGTTCGGAGGAAGATAAGAAAGTGCGGATCATTTGGGGTCAGTTACACTATAAAAGCATCAAGAAAGAGCAGAAGAGCTTCACTGACGCACCTGCTCCTCAGAACTTTAAGCTTGTAGCTCCCATCATTGGAGTGAGGAACCTCTAAGGAGCTTCGACTGCATGAGAACTTTCTCCAGGTTCTAGGCTATGGGCTTTGCTGCTCTTACTCACGTTCTGGTGTTCTTCTCAGCTGCTGGGGTTTTGCTGGGATGCTCCTTGAGGAACTTTACTCTTCATGTGGAGAAGCAGGAGTGCGGGCGCTGCATGGCCATCAACACCACCATCTGCAGCGGGATGTGCTTCTCACAGGTGAACACAAACTCGACTTCATTTTTATTTATTTGTGTATTTATCGTTTATTTTCTATTATTCACTGTAAAGTAAGTGCTCCTACTTTTAGCTTAACTGCCTATTTTTCAGCTGATGTTCTAAATTATGGTTCCTCAAGGGTTCTTTAGAAAAGAAATAGCACCATGAACTCTCAAAGAACCCTTTGCATGATTCCGGGGTTCTTTGCATCATGAAAGGCTGATGGAGAATGTGCTGTAGATGGTTCTATATAGAACCTTTTTGAGACGGTTACAAGCTTGACATTGTAACACTTTTTGGTGCTATATAGAACCCTTTTTTTAAAAAAAAGGTTCTATACAGAGCCATATACTCTTAATAATGATGATTATTCAAGGGTTCTTTACTAAGGAAAATGGTTATATATAGAATGAACCATGAAACTCAAATTTGCATGATTAAAGGGTTGAAATGGGTCTTCAGATTGATGGAGAATGTGCTGTATGTGGTTCTATACAGAGCTTTTTTTGATAAGGGTTCTATATAGTACTAAAAAGTGGTCTTCTCTTGTTTTGATGTCAGGCTTGTAACAAAAGAAGAACCCTTTGTTTGTTGTTCTATAAAGAACATTTTCTTTGCTAAAGAATCCTTGAAGAACGTTATTTATAGGTGTGTAGTTTATATGAAAGTAAAATCAACTTTATAACAATCATAACAGTCATAATGAACAGACTATAAACAAAACAGGCTGTGTTTTAAAAATAACAGACAATCTGATGTTGATTCTGGACCTCGACAGTGTAAAGTGACGTCTGGTACACCTGTTCCAAAATTATTTTGGAGAAAAAGTGTCTTTCATAAGATTTTATAATGAAGTCCTTGTATGTGAGCAGCACAGACATTAAGCTGCAGTGTGTGTGAAATGAATCAGTGTGTGATGAGAGAAACCTGCGTTAGTTCATGAGCTCTTTGTCTGTGAGCGCTGGTTTCTCTTATATTCAGGTTTTGGGTGGAAAGTACACATTTTAAAGCTCTGACAGAACATTACTTTTGATTTTTTGTGGTTTTTCGACCACATAACCAGCTTTTATTTGATATTATATGGTCTTGATATGAAATATTATCATAAACAACCACTTAGAAAACAACAAACTCTCATTTACATTGCAAACTCTCATTTACATTGCACATTTTGCATTTTAGGTGTAAAAGTTATTTTCCAAAATGTCTAAGAAATGACACTAAATATAAAGATATGGAGATCAGATGGAGATTTTTGATAAATTGGCCTGAGTTTAGAAGCAGAGAACTTTTTTATAACCATTAATTTTATATATTGTGTACAAAAAGGTACAAAACAAAAGAAAAAAAGCTTCTATTTCCTCACTTTATTTGAGCTGATTATAATGACATGTTAAAAATGTGTTTTTATTTCACTTGGGATAAAATTTTCTTTATTTTCAAATTATAATAATGACAATGAGTAAGAGTCAATGATAAAACATATGTGGTATTAATATACCATGTTGTAATATTCTAGATAACATTAATGGTTTTAAATGGCACATCAACTTTAAATAATTACTAGTAAAAGTAAAAACGTAAGAAATAAATATAACTATATTACAAAAGTAAGGGTAGTTGGTAAATGTGATGCTATGAATGTAGTTGCTCATAACAAACCAAACAATCATGTTCCACTTTCAAACTTAAAGTAAAACAAAGTTCATGCTCTTTAAAATATTGTTGATTATTCTCCTTTGTAAGAGAGCAAATGGAGATAAAAAGGCCTTAGTGTTGTTACGCTTTAGAGTGCCTGCACTGCATTCTTCAAGGGTTTATTAGTAAAGACAGTGGTTCTATATAGAACCATGAACACTCAAAGAACCATTTGCATGCTTAAATGATTCTTTGCATGGTAACAACGTTTTTCAGATTGATGGAGAATGTGCTGCACATTGTTCTATATAGCCTCTATTGTGATGATTTCAAGCTTACAACAGTACAGGAGCGCTTTTTGGTGCTACATAGAACCATGTACATACTATTCTGCATCAATCTGAAGAATCATTTCACCATGCAAAGAAACACGTCTTTTCTGCAGTAAGTTTATGTTTATAATAATTTTTATTTTATTTTATTTAATTATATTTGTACATTATGGTTTTTCAGGGGTCCTTCTGTAAAAGGAATGGTTCTTAGAACAATGAGCACTCAAAGAAACATTCAATTTTGAACCACAAAAAACATGCTTCTTTGCATGGTTCAATTCAACACTCTTAAAAAAGATGGTTCTTTAAGGGTTCTTTAGTAAAGACAACCATCTACATGATTAAATGGTTCTTTGCATGGTGAAACAGTTCCTCAGATTGATGAAGAATGTGTTGTATATGGTTCTGTATAACACCAAAAAGGGTTCTGTGATTGTGAAGATGTAACAGCTTGTAATAATAATAGAACCTTTTTTGGTGATAAATATAGAACTATAATCAGCACATTCTCCATCAATCTGAAGAACCTTTTCACCATGCAGAGAACCATGCAAATGGTTCCTTGAGTGCTCATGATTCTAATAGAACCATTCCTTTTACTAAAGAACCCTCGAAGAACCATCTTTTAAAGAAATATTATAATATGATTTTACCGCAGAATTGACTTGTGTCTCAGAGTGAGCAGTAATTGTAGTTGAAGTTGGTTTTTGTGTGTAGCTGAATTTTTCATTGCTTTGAAATGTATTTTTATATGAAATGTATTATTTTTCTTCCTAATAATCTCCTCAGAGTCTTAATTAGAAAGCACAATGGCATTTTAAGTTCCTGATCCCGGTCAGCCGGTGCTGCTGGAGAAACAGATACTGCAGTGTGTCAGATGGAAGTGTAAACACTCTGTAAACACATTTGCTGCGTTGTTTTTATGTGTTTATTTTGTAATATAAATCAGAATAATCCTAACTTGAAGCTCATTTTTGGTTCTGATTAATTAGGGAACAGTACTGCTGGGAAAATCAGTGTGTAGACAGTAAAGAGTCACTGTTGCAGCTTTATTTTTAATGTGTTGGTTTATTTTCTCTCCCTGTAATACAGCGCAGAATAAACCAATTATGGCTTAAAATGCTTATTAAACAAAGTGTTTGTGTGTGTTTGTCAGGACTCAAATCTGCAAGGCCTCATGGGGAGGGCCTTCCTGATCCAGGCAGTGTGTGTATATCGGTCTGTTGAGTATCGTTCAGCCGAACTGCCTGGATGCCCCGCCCACGCTGACCCACTGTTTGTTTACCCCGTCGCCCGCCACTGCCACTGCAGCAAATGCAACACTGTGCGCAATGAGTGTGTTCATACACTCCGTCGCAGCCACGCCTGCAGACTGAAACAGCCGCAGCCCACAGATCAATAACTAATCATTAAATAACCACCGATCATCACACAGCTTTGCCTTTACAGAGTTTATAGAGCATCTGTTCTCACTGTGCTGTCAGTTTCTTTTCCTGTTGTTGTGTTTATTTTATTGTTTAGTCTATGTAAACATTCATTATGTAAAGAAGAATGTGTCATTAACTCACTCTGCAATTGTCATAGATGGTAATAAACCTTATTTCTGCAGATATAAATAGTAATAATTACAATAAATAGTAGTAAAATATAGTAATCATGTATAAATTGTGCATGTGTGATGTGATGCTTTCAAGTAATCTTGTAGTTCTGCTTCTCTCCTTCATAATAATTAACAGCAAATTCTACTAAATCAACTCACAGATAATTAAAACTGTTATCACAACCAAACAGAAACTGTGTGAGCAGTATTTATCATCTATCCAAGCAAATATTATTGTTATTAATAGTAACATTTATTGTAGCAACATATTGCTGCTGAAAAAACTCATATCTCCAAATTGATAACTTTACAGAAGAAAAAAAAAAACATACTTTACTTTTAATGTAAGTCAGTGGAACCAGACATTTTTTCATTTTGGGTTGTTTCTTTTGGTCCATTCATCATAAAAATTATGCACACTGTTAGAAATAAAGGTACTGTTTAGGTATATTTTTCAGTCATCAAGGTACAACCAATGTAAATGTACCCTGAAAGGTACAACAGTGGTTTTAAGGTCCAGCTGTGTACCTTATATAAGTTTTTCCAGGTGAAAAGTACGTATTTTTATCTTTTCATAACCTAATGTTTTGAAACAGAACAAAAAGATAAAAAGCTTGCAGACAAGATGGGGTGCGTGGAGTCAATACAACTTAGAAAATATAATTTCAACGGATTATGGTACAATTATGTTCCCTAATTAAAGGTACTGAGATGTACCATTGAGGGTTCCACCCCAGTGACAAGAGGGGTACAGCCCCAGTGATAGTTTAGTACCTTTATTTCTGAGAGCAACAGGCATTTTCAAACCATGCTAAAAACTGAAGAACAACAAAAATGGAGATATTGTATTTTCTATTATTATTATTATTAGTAGTAATAGTATATTATATTTTCTATTAACTACTAGTATTATATTTAGTAGTATTAATAGCATTGCAGAATTGTTTTTCTATTATTATTATTATTATTATTATTATTATTATTACTATGGATGCATCTATGCACATGGAGGTGATAAAATCAGAATAGTTAGCACTGTTTAGAACTAAAACTGCTATTTCTGCTATGTTTTGATGAAATAAAAACAATAAAAAATCTCTACATTTCAGTCGATTTGTGTTTTTTTTTCATTAAATGCATTAATACATCTCCACTTTTGTTCTGTACGTTTAATGTGTAAATATTGCAGTAATGCTTGTCAATTATAAGAATATAATATAATACACACATCCTAAATAAAATAATAATATTTTTTATACATATCCTAATGACTGTTAATGCCTCATCTTTCGTAGAAACTGTAAATGAATGATAAATACACTCTTCACTGCTGGATGAGCGCATCTTAAATGTAGGCAGTGTGTGTAATGTGTCTCACAGTGAGACTGTTGTGAGAGTATTGTGAGATTATTCAGCCTGTTTCTAGTTGTTGTAGGCCATTTTATACAGCGAAGTGACCTGGAGGTGGTGTGTATGTGAAGGCATCTGTGTGTTTGGTAAACAAAATCTCTGGCTGGTCACAATGTGAGGTCAAACACCTCAATCGTTTCGTTTGGAAATGAACACGTGTAAACATACATACTGAGGATCTTTCATGGAGTTGTTGAATGAATCTGACTCCTGGGAGAAGACAGACACTGATTCACTTTAACATTCATCACAATTAAGAAATCTATTAGTGTTTATTGTGGCTGCTAAAGGCTTAGCTAGCTGGCTAACACTTTTTAAAACATTCCGACTTACTATGCAGAATGTACAATCAGACAAGGTAAACTAGGCCTAAATGAGCTCAAACAGGACATGAGAAGTGTAAAAATACATAAAATCCTAAAAAAAATATTAAAATAATAAATGTATTGCTAACACCACAATCAAATGCTGCTGTTTCTTAAGTGAGATGTGTTCTGCTAAATAGATGGGCTTGAGGTACTGAAGGACTGGCTTTTCATAAATGCAACACTCTATAATTAATGCAAGTAGTTTTATAATTAGATTATAAGTTGAATCAGGTCTTTTTTTAGCAAAGCTAATTATCAGTTATTATTAGCTATTATAATCAGTCATTTATATCTACATTGTTTTTTTTTGCTTGAAGACCACCTTTTTCCACCTTTCTCTCATTTACTCTAAAAATCAAGTACTTTTATTTTGAAAATTGCAGTGTATTGAGTACACAAGCTTAATTCATTTGCAGCTCCGACACACCTGGAAAAATAGAAAGGAAATATATATGTAGGCTACTTTTGTATACAACAATAAAATAGAAAGTATTTCAACTGTAAATAAAATTAATTAATTAATTAAAGTTGTGATTTGGTTTGCAGTACAGCCTCTTGGATGAATTTTCATTCATTTCTCTCTGTTTTAAGACATTAATGACTTAATGCTCTCTCTGTTTTAAGACATTAATGACTAGCTAATGCTAGCTAACTTATATCTGTTTGTACACACACTTAGAGTACTCCTCCGTGCTGAATTAGCATGTTCTGCTACATGCTGTGAATTGTTTACCAGAATAAACACAGAGCTTTCAGGCTTGAACGCTACAATAACAATAGAAAAGAAAAAGCTGAGACATACATTCTGTTATAATAATAAGGATAAATGTGACTGATACATGTTCATGATTAGTGAATATTTAAGTAAATGTGACAAAATGTGTCTGCAAATGTGATGCATTATTGTAAAAATGCAAGCATGCATGGTGCAGATCGAGCAAATACAATGTAGCGTTTGCATACATGAAATTATGGCCCATGCAAATTAACAGTAGCCAAACAACTTGGATTTTCCACAATTTTTGCTGCATATCATTTCTTTCTCAAACCCTGGAGAACATAAGGAACAGGCGCTATCGCTTTCTTTCACAGTGCCTTAAATCCTAGGTATTAACTAGGTAAGTGTGAGCACTAGATAATATTTTTAGTAAAATGACATTATGTACCTATGTGTGAAGCAGCTTAACTATACTACACTGAAATCTCCAGCAGGTTCTAGATATAAACTGAGTAAGTGCGGTGTACAAGCTCCAAAGTGCTGTGTAGTTATTTTGGGTAACTCTTTCTTTCACAGTCTAGGTATTAACCAGGTAAGTGTGAGATACAAACTTCAACGTACTAGATAATTATTTTGTATAAAATGATGGTAAGTATCAAGAGAGTCTAAATGTCAAACATGTTCTAGATAGTAACTCCACATTAGTGTGTAATTATTTAAATTATTATCAGTAAAATGATGGCAAATACTAAGACATTACATTATGCTAACAAAACTTTAATGTACTGTCAGAATGTGTCACTTTTCAATTGTAATAGAAGTTAATAAACTTTATTTCTGTAGATACCAATAGTGATAGTGCCAATAAATAAAATGTAAAAATAGCAAGCATATATTTATATATGTGTGTATATATATATATATATATATATATATATATATATGATATGTATGTGTGTGTGTGTGTGTGTGTGTGTGATATGACACACTATTAATAAATTATAAAGTAAAATGATGCCACAACTACAAAAAATACTTTTCTGAACTAAATAATAAGAACCCAGTAGAGCCACAGTAAGAAAGTAAGAACCACTGCATTCTCTTACAGCCCAGATTCAGTTTATTTTACAGCTTTTTATATTATAAAACTACCCCAGATAATTACACAGTACTGTGGAGTTCCACACACCTACCCTTCTAATTTCTAGAACCTGTTGGGCATTTCAGTAAGACTTACTTAGACTTGGTACTTACCATCATGTTACCCAAAAAAGGTATCTGGGACACTGGAGTTTGTACCTTACACTTATGTGATTCATATATATATATAACTTAGGGGACTGTAAAAAAATTCACAACAACAAAACAATTAGAACTATAGATAATAATAAAAAAAGAAACTGAGCAGCTCTAGCACACTTATTATATTATTATATAATATAGTTATTTAAAAACTTCACTGAGAACTTTAAAAGAAAGAAACGAACAAACAAACAAAAAAAAAAACTGAATTGAGCTGTATTATAAACGTCTTAACTGATTCTCCCTGCAGCACTTTCAGAATTTAGTTTGTGTATGAATTCATGACCACACAGTGTGTGTGTGTGTGTGTGTGCGTGTGTGCGCGCTGCACGCGTGTGTGTGTGTGCATGTGTGTGTGTGTGTGTGTGTGTGTGTGCGTGTGTGTGTGTGTGTGTGGACAATCTTGGTTACAGTGTGTGTGGTGTGTGCAGGCGAGCAAGGAAAGACAGAGAGAGAGAGAGAGAGAGAGAGAGAGAGAGAGAGAGAGAGAGGGAGAGAGAGAGGGAGGAGTTATTAGAGGTGGAGTGTGTGTGGTTATATAAAGCCGCCCCACTTCCACACACACTGCTACTGCCCCCCCTCCACCACCGACACACACCGACACCCAGCAGCACCATGGCTCAGCAACCAATCAGGTACAGACATGGTCTTCTTATTCCTCTCACTTTTAGTCCACATCTACTGTCTTTAGTTCAGTTCTGCTGTTCTTAGCCAGGTTCTACTGTCTTTAGTCCAGTTCTACTTTTCTTAGCCCAGTTCTACTGTCTGTGGTCCAGTTCTGCTGTTCTTAGCCCAGTTGTATTGATTTTAGTGTAGTCCTACTGGTTTTGGCTCAGTTCCAGTGTTTTTAGTCCAGTTCTACAGTGTTCAGGGTTGGTTCCCTGGACAGGAATTAAGCCTAATATTGGACTGCACAAGATTTTGAGTGGAGATTTTCCATTCAAAGGAAAATGTATTCCATGACTAGGATTAATTCCTGTCTGGGATACAGGCCCATAGTCTGGTTCTGCTCTGTTTGACCCAGTTCTACTATTTTCAGTCAGTTTCTGTAGGTTTTACTTCAGTTCTGCTGCTTCATTCCAGTTCTACAGTATTTATTTGTTCTACTGTTTTTTACATTGAGTTCTACATTTTTAGACCAGTTCAACTGTTGATAGTCAAGTTTCACTGTTTTTATTCTAATTCTACTGTTATCAGTCCCGTTTTACTGTTATTAGTCAAATTCTACTGTTATTAGTCCAATTCCACTATTATTAGTCCAGTCCTACTGTTATTAATCCAGTTCTACTGTTATTAGTCCAGATCCACTATTACTGGTACAGTTCTGTTGTGATTAGTTGTGATTGTGTTGTTATTAATCCAATTCAGTGGACTAAATGGAATGCAGTGGAGCGTTAAAGTGTTTGTGCTGCATACTTTACATGGAAGGTGTGTTCATATGTGAATGTGCTGGAAATGTGATCCTAAAGGAAACTGAAGATTTACAGCAGCACAACTGTACAAATCATATATATATATATATATATATATATATATATATATATATATATATACATATATTCATATCAGGAGGAGTTAAAAAGCTAAATGATCTTCATTTATACAGCAGTACAAAGTCTCTACATTTAAGAAAGTGAAAAAGCCCAAACATTTGGCTGTAGTTTATATTACAATAAGTAAATGAATGAGATCCACTTCAGAGAAATGAAAGGTGGATCATCTCCCCTGATGCCCCTGGGCACAGTTTTAACACACCTGTCCGTGTTGTACATGTTGATCTGTCCTGCTTTCAGAGCAGATCTTTGAGAGATTGAATGTTTTACTTGGTAAAGTTGGCACTTTGCTGAGGAGCTGAAGCTCCTGATGCCCCTGCTGCAGGTGTTGAGGTGTTGAGCGAGTTAGGTGTGTAATCAGGTCACCAGGTGAACATCTCTCAGTGCTGTGTGGTTTTGTTTCTCCTCTCAGTCTTCCTGCTAAGCTGATTAACGGTGGGGTGGCCGGGATGGTGGGGGTGACCTGTGTGTTTCCCATTGACCTCGCCAAAACACGCCTGCAGAACCAGCGCAGCAATGAGAGAGTCTACAAGAACATGTACGCTAACGTTCTTCTGCTCTACATCACTCTGTCTCTCTCTCTCTCTCTCTCTCTCTCTTGCTTCTGTCTTTCACACTTGTATAAAGTCAGTGAGTGAGCAGTCAGAGCTGCAGCTGTTCTCCAATCAGAGCTCTGGAGACTCAGTCTGATCTCAGAAAACTGATCTGAAGCTCAGGCTGAAGCTGCAGAAAATCTGCATAACAGGTTTTCCCACCATGCTGTTTATCTGAGTAGCGGCTGATGCAACACTTCAGCTTGTTAGAACATAGAACAGCTGTGTGGGTGTTTTAGGTTTGCCCACTCCAGCTATCCAGTATTTCACTGCTGTAGAAAGAAAACCTTGTATCTCCATTTTTGTCATTTTTTGTCATGTTTTTGACACAATTTGAAAATGTATGTTGTTCTTTACATTGTGTGTAAATTTCATGAAGAATGGACCAAAAGAAACAATCCAAAATGACTTGGAAAAAAGTCAGGTTCCATTGACTTTTTGTTTTGTATGTTTTTTCTTTCTCCTGTAAAGTTACCATTCTGGAAATACTAGGTTTTGTTACAACAGCAGTGATTGGTTTTATTTTATTATTTAATACCACTGCATAACTAACTGTAAACTATTAAAAAGCTAAACATTTATTTTATTTTATATTTAGGGGTTAATCTAATTAAAGCTATTTAAAATCACAAGATTTTATTATATTTTTTGTCACTACATATTTAGCTTTTAGAATAATTTAACCTATTTAAAATCTAAATGTTATTGTATTTATTATATTTATTTACTGCTAATGCATACTTAGTGGTTAATATAATCTACTCAAACAAAAATGAAAAGATGTTATATTATTTTATTTAGCTTAATTTTGTTTATTTTTTGTTGCAACTAATGTGTGCGTGTTCAGATGAATATTCAGATGTACAGATGTTCTGACGTTCTGAATGTCCTGATGTTCTGACATTCTGAATGTTCAGGTGTTCTGAATGTTCAGATGTTCCGACATTCTGAATGTTTAAATGTTCTGATGATCTGGTGTTCTGGTGTACCGGGATTCTGAATGTTCTGAATGTTCTGACGTTCTGAATGTTGTTTTGTTCAGGATGGACTGTCTGATTAAAACTGTCCGCTCTGAGGGATACTTCGGGATGTACAGAGGTAAACACACACACACACACACACACACACATACACATACACACACACACACACACACGCACACACTTCTACCCATCACTCCCCTTTCACCTCTCCCACCCTCCAGGAACGTCCTGCACTGAACTAAAGTACACTTAATCACAGGCTGTCTACCCTAACAGCCCCCTGACACTCACTGCGTGTTTCACTGACACTCACTCACAGCTGGGTTTATCTTCTAATACAGCACCTCCCAGTTACTCTATTGTGTGCAGCAGAACTTTTTTCTCTGAGCGCTTTTAGGAGGTAAGTTATAAATAGTCATGGATTTATGAACTGTAAGTGTTCAGACCTCTCAGAGTGATCACAATTTAACCTTCAGAAGAGTCTAAACGTCTACAGTTATTAAGGCTGTTCTGCCGCACAGGCTATAGAAACTCCACAGACTGTCACTGGGGAGGTACATCAGAACGTCTTCAGCACCTTCAGTGAGAGAACATGATTGAACCCCGTTCCGCTTCAGTTGTATTTTAAATTGCGTTGACTCCACCCAGACTGTCCTGACTCCAGACTTTTATTTTTCTGTTTTTACTTTAAGTAGTGCCCCTTTCCTCTGATTAAGTGAATGTACACTCTTAAAAAAGTTGGTTTTCTGGGGTTCTTTAGAAAAGACAATAGTTCTTTATAGAACCATGTACACTTCAAGAAACACTTTCATGCTCAAATGGTTCTTTCCTTGGTGAAATGGTTCTTCGGATTGATGGAGAATGTGTTGTATTTGGTTCTATATAGCATGAAAAAGAGTTCTGTTATTGTGACAATGTCAAGCTTGTAACAATATTGTGAAGCTTGTAACAATAGAAGAACCCTTTTTGGTGTTACGTAGAACCATATCAGGCAATTCTCTATCAGTCTGAAGAACCATTTCACCATGCAAAGACACTTCTTTTCAAGTCTTTTCTGCAGTAAGTGTATATTATAATATTTGTACACTCTTAAAACAGACAGTTCTTCAAGGGTTCTTTAGTAATGGGAATGGGTCTATGTAGAACGAAGAGCATTCAAAGAACCAATATGACACAACACAGCTGCTTGGAATGGCTAAATAACCAACACAACACTTATGCAGCATTGTGTAAAAGTCAGAGACCATCATTCATTTATTTAATTCTCAGTAAAAAAGTTTCCCAAAAAAAGAGTTTCCAAAACTGGACTTCAAATACTGATTAAAAGCTCCAGAGAAAATGAGACTCCTAACAACCACCTGGAAGACCTGGTAGACACCAAAACTGTCCCCATCACATAAACAGCACTTAAAGCTTTCATCTTTGAGAGAGAGGAGAAAATTAAGCCGCTTCTGATCTGAAAACATCCACAGGTGTTTCTGTTCATCCTTCCACTGTCAGAAGACAACTCAGCGCCATGGGTCTGAAAGGATGTGTAGCTGTCAAAAAGCCTCACTGAGAAAAGGAGATTTTCTGTTAAATATGTTTTCTGCTGTTTTCCTGACACAGAAAAATGAGTAACTGACAAATTAAATAAATGAAGGTCGTCTCTGACTTTTGCAGAGTACCCTATATATTTCCTGTTGTACCAACAAACACTAATGTGGTCTGGAGTGAAACTTTAGAATCTGCACTTTCCACACAATTTCTCCCCTTATTTGATGAGCTATGATTCAATGATTATTAAACAGAATGTAGGTGACTTTGACAGATAATGAATTTGTTTCTGCAGGTGCAGCAGTTAACCTGACCCTGGTGACCCCTGAGAAGGCCATCAAACTAGCTGCTAACGACTTCTTCCGTCATCAGCTCAGCAGGGGAGAGTGAGTTTCATTGGTTGTTAAGTATTAAACATATAATAATAATAATAATAATAATAATATATTTAATTTATAAAACACCTTTCTCAAATCCAAAGATGCTTTCCCAGTTTCCCAGAAAACCTCTGACCACAATATGTAGTCCTAAATTTATGGCCAAGTCAAACCCTACTTTCATGATGCATAGTCCCAGATTCATGGCCCAGTCAAACCCCACTTTTGTGTCATATAGTTCCAGGTTTGTGGCCTAGTCAAACCCTACTTTCATGACATATAGTCACAGCTTTGCAGCCCAGTCAAACCCAACTTTCATGATATATATTCCCAGGTTTGTGGCCCAGTCAGGCTCTGTTTTCATGATGTATAATCACAGGTTCACAGCCCAGTCAAACCCCAATTTTGCAGTGCATAGTCCCAGCCAGGTTTGTAGCCCAGTCCCACATTCGTGGCCCAAATTTCACTTTTGTGATGCATAGTGCCAGGTTCACGGCCCAGTCAGTCTTTGCTTTCATGATGCATAGTCCCAGGTTTGTGGCCCAAACTCCACTTTTTGTGATGTATAGTCCCAGGTTCATGGCCCCTCACTGCTGAGATGTATGGTTTGGTTTTAGGTTCAAACTCAACTGTTGTGGTGCAAAATCCCCAGCTTGCAGCCTAGTGCAAAGTCCCGACCTCATGGACCAATCAGTCTCTGGGTCACACTGCAAAGTCCTGACTTGCAGCCCAGTCAAATGTCACTGTCATAATGCAAAGTCATAGACTTATGGCCAATAACTGCTCTGTCACTGTGAAAAGTGTCCTGGCTCATGGCCCAGTCAATCTCCACTATCACAATGCAAAGCCCCAGATACATGACACAGCTGCAAAGTCCTAGGTTTGTGACCAAACATATTCTGCCACTGTGAAGAACAGCATCCAGGCTTGTGTTCAAAAACACTCCTAAAAGAGGTTCTGAGAGTGTTCTTCTCACTGCAGGTCTAAACTGAGTGTGTTTAAAGAGATGCTGGCGGGCTGTGGAGCCGGAGTGTGTCAGGTGATCGTCACCACGCCAATGGAGATGCTTAAGATCCAGCTTCAGGATGCAGGGAGACTAGGTAAGACATGGATTATCATATTATAAACTCTAGAAAACAGTACCACTCTTTGAGCAATACTATAGAAGAACAACTTTTGGTTCCCTAAGAAGCCAAAAGGATATGTGAATGTGAAGAACTTTTTAAATATTCAAAGAATCTTCAAATAATTTAAGGTTCTGTACCAATTTAAGGGGTCTGACATTATATGGAAGTTCTTTGAACTTTAAAAAAGGTTATTCACACTCGCTTATCTGATTTACAAAAATGGTTCTCTAAAGGACCCCAAAGTGGAATCGCATAAAGAACACTTTTGGCGCCTTTCTTTTTTAGAATGTTCAGGAATACTTGAGGTAGAGAGATGCAGAGTGTCATATAATGGGCTTCTACCAAAATGAAGGTAATTGCACTTTACCATATGTTCAGCTTAGAGAGATTCATAACCGTTACTATGTACCAGGAAGAAGAACCAGAAAATAACACAATTAGAGGAATTAAATTGATGATGTAATGAAGTGATTATAACATTAGAGTTACCAGAAAAAAGAACAGACAGGAACCAGGCTGCAGACAACTCTGGGAAATATCAGATAACACAGTTGCTTGGAATTACTAGGTAAACCAGACAGAACTTATGTAAGATCCTATTCACCAAAACCAGCACAGGAAGAACACAAAACAGGGAAGAGACACGATTACAGAGGAGGAGGAGCTCGTAGCCTGAAGGAAGCAGATCCAGTATGGTGTAGAGTGAGGATTTTGTGGCATTATATAATAATAATAATAATAATAATAATAATAATAATAATAATAATAATACTTTCTTTAATTCACACTACAGTTCAAAAGTATTATACTAGTATTAAGCTATAAATAAAAATAAAGAAATATTAGAAGTGTCCAGAATGTAGACGGTTCTAAAATGACAGAGAAAGTTGTACAACATCAAGAATGAAGCTCTAATAAAGTAAGCATCAGTATTATTAAAAAGGGTGGTTCCTTAAGGGTTCTTTAGTAAAGACAAAGGTTCTATTTAGTACCATGAACACTTAAAGAACCATTTGCATGATTAAAGTCTTCTTTGCATGTGCTGCAATGTGTTGGTTCTATATAGCACCAAAAAGGGTTCTGCTATTACTGCTAGTAATAAGCTTGACATTGTCACAATAGCAGAACCCTTTTGGGTGCTATATAAAACCATTTACAGTGCATTCTGCATCAATCTGAAAAACCATTTCACCATGCAAAGAACCTTTTAAGCTTGTTCATGGTTCTATATAGAATGTTTTCTTTACTACCCTTGAGTGAATTCATTAGATTTTGTAAAGTGGTGATCCAATTTCAGAACTTATCCAGGAATTTATCCATAAATTGCTATAAATAGTGAATTACAGTATATTATTTATGATTTATTAGCTTTTTGATGTTCCTAAAACTTACAACATTGAATAAAACATCTTAAATTACCTTTGATAAATTACAGAATAGAAAAACAATTGATTTTTAATATAACAAGTAATTCCAGGCTTTTAAATGGTAAAGTGTATAGTGTCTTTCTCACAGATGCAAAATTAGTACAACAATTGCACAATCACCTCAAAAAAACATGCAACAAAAAAGAGCACTATCAGCAGGAGTGAAATGGAGAATGAAACCATTGAGAAAAGAGGAATGGACTGGAAAGGCTTATTAGAGTTCCACAGTTTATGAGCCACGAGACTGAAACATTAAGAATTTCAGGACAGCTAAAATTTTAGCTGAAAGCTAGATTGTCCTGTAATTTCCCATTAGGTGGTAACTTGACATAAAACATTTCTTCTGGATGAAAAACTTTCCACTAAAGAACACTGTTCTCCATAGTTCTAAGATGTTTGAAAGATCTTAAGTTTTCCCTATATGTTCCTCACAGTGGCCCAGAGGAACCTGGCTGTGGTGCCCTCACCCACAGGCGGTGGCGGCACCATGCTGAGCTGCTCCTACATCCGCCCAGTTTCAGCCATGCAAATCACCCAGGAGCTGCTGAGGACCCGCGGCATCCAGGGCCTCTACCAGGGCCTTGGGGCCACACTCATGAGGTACAACTAAACTTAACAAGTAAATACTGGTAAAGTTATTTTTACATAGAACTGCCAATTCAGCCTACAGCAGTTTAGCCCCACCCATTCAGCCTACAGCAGTTTAGCCCCACCCATTCTGCCTACAGCAGTTTAACCCCGCCCATTCAGCCTTCAGCGGTTCAGTCCTGCCCATTCAGCCTACAGCAGTTTAGCCCCGCCCATTCATGTTTCAGTGACAAAAACAGCTTGTATAAAGAGACATTGGTAAATGATAAATGTAAATATGAATTATGACTAATATATAGCAACAAGCACCAAAAAATTCTAGAATGTGTAATTTCTGGAAATTTATAGCATAGTAATATATAGACAGTGTACTATATAGTAATATATAGCACAGTATAGAGGCTGTTACTGACTCTGTTTGCTTTTTTTCAGAGATATCCCATTTTCTGTTGTTTATTTCCCACTCTTCGCCCACCTGAACCAGCTGGGGAAACCTTCGGAAACCGAGAACGCTCCATTTTACTGGTCCTTCGCTTCAGGCTGTGCGGCCGGGTGCACGGCAGCCGTGGCGGTCAGCCCCTGTGATGGTGAGTGTGCACATGTTTGTGTTAGTGCACTAACACTGGTGAAATGTGAAAAGACTTACACTGAGCTTTCCTCCCTGCAGTGGTGAAGACAAGGCTGCAGTCACTCAATAAAAGTGCAAATGAGGAAATGTACAGCGGAGTGGTGGACTGTGTCAGGTACAGCGACCATTCTTTGAGTTCCGTTTACAGTTTTCATTTCGAACTTCAGTGAAATTAACAGTTGGAAAAGGTTTAAGGCCAGTCATTATATCACTATCAGTGTGTTTGGACACTCCTACTCTTACACTGTATGTTATGTATAAATAACATACATTTGTAGAGTACTAACATCTCAAATTAACCTCTAACATTTTGTACTCTGTATGGAAGAAAAAGATATGTACATATATTTGCACTATATTTAGATGTGCACTATATATATATAGATGTTGCCATTTTGAATATTTACATAATTGGCAATATATGCACATATATGTCAATATATTGAAATATATTTGCATATGTAGACAAAATATGTCGAAATGTGTGCATTTTTAATTATCACAATATTACAAACTTGACGCATTTTACAAACATATATGGAAATATTTTTCTGTCTATGCGGTATCTCCTTTGATTGTATTGTGCCTAACTAAGCAGTTAACTTAAGTTAGTGATAACATAACATGCCCAGTTACCTTTATGACACTTTGTATTCCCTCACGGCATACTGTAAAAAGCCACAAAAATGTGTGCCTCGTTAATGTGTTTGAACAAATCAGGTGATGTAGGCAGAGATTTAATAGCCTTTGGACAATATTTCTGACTGGAGCCATTTCATGTTATTGCTGTCATAATCTCAATAATCTTGTAACTCTTTTCAGTTTGTTCATTTTTTTTAGTGATTACTGAATAAATAAACAGCTTGATCCAAAAACATTTGAGATTCAGAAGGAAAAAATAAACATAAATAATTAATGAAAAATAATAAACTACATATACTCATAAAAATAATAAACTAGTGGAGTACACTGAGTGAAAACATAACATTATTACTCACTAACAGATATTTAGATATTAGAGATTTAGAGATTACAATTTAATGTTTGTGAGTTCAGACTCTGCCTTCAACATGGTGGTGGTAGTATGAGGGAAGACTAATTGAGGCAGGGGGGAGAGCTGGAGTTGTGGGCAGCTTCTGCCAGTAGCTAGAAGGCCAGACCCACCCTCATAGCTGTAGTAGGACTGATGCAAGACTGAGGAACAGGGAGGAGATGGGGTTTCAGAGCCCTGTTCTGAAATGTGGAAAATAAAGTAAATAAAGTGAAAATAAAGTAAACCCATCTGTGTCTTTTCTCCCTGCAGGAAGATCATTCATAAGGAAGGTCCATCTGCTCTGATGAAGGGTGCCGGCTGCCGGGCTCTGGTCATTGCTCCACTCTTCGGCATCGCGCAAGTGGTTTACTTCATCGGTGTTGGAGAATTTATCCTGGGCCAAAACCCCTTCAACCTCTACTCAGCCTAAACTCAGTCTCAAACACCGGAACCATCTGAGCATTAAAGTGAAAGTTCAGCGAAAAAAAGTGAAATTATCTGATTTTTCGCCAAACTGTTCCTTCATAGCAGAGTGGCTGAGGCAGCTTCACGGTGACTGTTTGGAGAGTGATGTTTATGGTTTGAGATTTGTTATGGAAATGCTAACATTAGCATATACCGCTGGCGTTCTCGTAGCCAAGACAACATTGCACTTGTCAATGTCATTTCTAATTTTTTATTTTTTTTTAAAAGTCTCCAGAAACAGCCTTTGGTTTCCCTCAATGAGGGAATGAATGTCACGTCACGTCTCCCACACTCAAAATATCACAGCTTTCCTTTCTGTTTGTCCATTAACTTTGTCCTTTCTCACTCATAGTGGGCTTTGGGGGCGGGTAAGGGGGGCACTTGTTCTGTTTAGCTCATAAAAGCGAACTTGTCATATTTCAACCCTGTTTAAAGGGTGCTGGGGTGAGTAATGTTGACGGATGTGGTCACGATCCTCTGAAAGGAGGCATGCACACTTTAGATTCCAAAAAGCTCTGAATATTGGGCGCTGTTTTGGAGAAGTTTAAGCTTGGAGTGTGCGGAATGCAGATTTTGGGTTGTGCCATCCAGTTGGACCAAGTCAAGGCAGAAGTTTAGTATATTTTGTATGTGCATAACTCATATTTCAAAGGCAGACTGACATGAAAATATTTGCTGGCAGAGTATTCGACACATTTATAGTGTACAGCATACCTCAGAATTGGACTGTCAATGTATATCTAGCGATATAGATGCCTGCTAAGATGTTGCACAACTTTTAAGTCACCAGTCACTTCCATTTCTCATTTTGATCTGTCCTAGGATGTGCTTACTGATCATATAACAGTAACTACATCACAAATGGGAGGTGCAATCTGTGCAATCTCACAAGTTTTGGAGAAGGAAATGAATCAAGGTCATTCAAGGTTTCTTCTCACTTTGAATTTTTATACCTTCAGTAGGGGGTCACACGTCTGACCACCCTAAAAACAAAGTATGAATCTCAAGGAGCCAGTTGGACAAACACTGTTTGGTAAAGGAGTGTGGGTGTTTAGCAGCTGTGTGGTCCAAGGATTTCTGAATCAACAAGAACAACCTCTAAATAAAGATGCTATTAATCTGAGTTTTTCCTGTGTTTTCTTCTAAAATTGTGTGAAAGATAAATTAACTCTAGATAACCTAGAGCTACATTCATTGTTTTAACATATTAACATGAATAATTACATGATTATTACCTTTACATTTGAGTTACATTCTGTATGAAAAGGTCTAAGCCTGCACTACCAACTTTTTCTGTTTGTTCAATGTCAAAAAATGACAAAAATGTGAAATGAATGAAGTTGTTTTTCCCTTCTTTTTCCTTGTCTTCTGATAGAATAACCACATTTGCGCTGATTTACACACCAACTGTAAAGCCAAGAGTGCCCACTTCTTTAGCTGCTTGTTACAAATAGAGTGCTGGAGATGAGTGGATGTAAGTGTTAATTTTACAAGGAAATAAGATGAAAGGCAGATCAGGGATGACCAAAGAGTAAAAACAAACAAAATGAACAAAATGAACAAAACATTTTGGAACAAGGTTAGGTAAACAGGAAATGGGAAACAGGCTACAAAATAAACACCCTGACAAAGACACAGATACACACACAAGCTATTTATACAAACAACCAGATTTAAGTGAATGAAGTGGTTGGATTCTGGGTGGAATCAAACCCAGAGTGGGCATAAACACAGAACGAGGAGTCTGTTACAGAAGCCCCCTTTCAGGCACAGCTTCCAAGGTATGGAAATCTGAGGCTGAGTCTGGAACCTACTCCAGGGTAGGAGCTGGAGCCAGATCTGCAGAAGACCCTGAGACAGAAATTGAACAGTCATGGTGACAAGGACTGATACAAGGACTAAGGTGGTATAAGGGACAGGGACAGGAACTGAGATGTTGACTGGGTCAGGGCCTGGGACAGAGATGGTGACAAGGATAAGAACAGAGACCAGATCGTGACAGTGACTGATACTGATTCAGTGATGAGACTGTGACAGGAACTGGGACAGTGACAGAGATAGTGAGAGAGACTGGGATAAAGGAAAGGACAGGAACTGGGACAAAGACTGGGACAGAGATTGTGACAGGAGTCTAGACAGATATTGGGACAGAGACAGGGACAAAGATGGTGACAGGGACTAGAATAAAGACAGGGACAGGAACTGGGACAGAGATTGTGACAGAAGTCAAGGCAGAGACTTGGACAGAGATTGAGACAGGAACCAAGGGATTGACACAGACAATGTCTGGGATCAAGATGAAGGGAGCTTCGAGGACAACCCTGGCCTAAGGAGCTTGGATAATTTCTCTGGCTTGGGGAACTTGGTAGATGTCTCTGGCTTGAGGAACTCGGTGGACACCTCTGGCTTGGAAAACTTGGTGGACGTCTCTGCCTTGGGAAACTTGGTGGACAGCTCTCCCTTGGGTAGCCCAGTTAAAGTCTCTGATTTGTGGAGCCTGGAGAACATCTCTGGCTTAGGAACCCTGCGGGCAACTTAACAAATGTCTCTGGCTTGAGGACCCCAGAGTATGCTTCTGCACTGGGGAGCAGAGGTGTACAAGAACACAGGCTGAGAGTGGCATTTTTGGTCAGCAGGGATGTCTTGTCGTATCTCCAAAGGTGGAAACAGGTGTACTCCTGCTTGTTCGACATGAAAACCTGCAGCCACATCTGCCTTTCCAGATAAGACTGGACATCCGTGGCTTTCCTGGCACTGAAAAGGCCATCTTTAGGTGCAGAGAGAAATGTGAAAAGTCTCTTAACAGTTGCTCTCTATTACAGGGATGTCCAATCTTGTCTGCAAAGGGCTGAGTTGGCTACAACTTTTCATCCCAAACCACCAGGAGCTCACCTGATTTTTTGATCATGCATGCTCTCCTGTTTTGTTGGAAGAGAACCTGCAGCCACTCTGGCCCTTTGCAGGAAAGATTGGTCACCTTATTGCTCTATTAGAACTGTATCTCTCCACTACCAACTTCTCTCCTTGAGAAATGGAGGCTGAATCAAGCGATGCCTCGCAACTCCACTCCTCTCCATAATCTTTGGGGCAGGAGAGCCTAAGACAGTGGCTACCACGTATGGAGAGATGTTTGCTACTTTTGAATCACTTCTGCAGGGTAAAACCCGGTGCTCCACGTCCATTTGGTGAACCTTCTGGGGTCTGAGGGCATTCCCTTGATTTGTGCATACCTTCTTAAATTCTCCTTTAAAGTCTCCTCATATAACATGATACTCATATGTTTCATATCAAAATGCTCCATTATTTTCATCACTACTTTCCAAAGCTTTGCAAATTCAGCAGCTGTAAACTCTCTGCACGCCTTTTCACATGTGTCTCCGATGTGGATTGAATGAAGAATGAAACGTTTCCAGCATGATGGGTCCTTGGTGATACCCTGAGTGTCCATGGGTGAGTTTCACACAAAATATAGACGGACACATGAATCCACCAGTTCCAAACAGTGAGAGGCAGATGACAATAAACACAAGCTAGAGTAAACACAGTTAAGGGCAAACTAGGTTAAGTTTCAACAGATTGAGCAACCTAGGCCAATCCATTCTCTTAAAATCTTGGCAGTATTACTGAGTATAAAACCACCAATGGGAGTGGTTCCAGGCAGGGTGTAAAGTGCCCACGCTGCTGAAAATAAACCTGCTGCTTCTGCATTGCTGCTGCATAACTTCTACCTGCAGCTGTTACCCACATTTCAAACAGGAAATATGAAACTCTGGTCAAAGCAGAGCTCCAGAGAGGCAAGCCTCACTTAGCTGTAAGGCAGCTAGCAGGAGATATACTTACAGTCATAAAGTGATTCAACTGGAGAATACATTTATTACAGTCAACAATGTCATTTATGTTTAAAGTGTCAAGCTTTCCATTCTTCAGCATTGTTTAAAGCAACAATTAACACATCTCAATGCACTAATCTCCACATTCAGTATAGCAGCAGGACTAACTGGGACTGAAAGAAGGCCCAAAACCTTGACTCAAGTTTTTCACTGATATTTTTAAGGGAATACAGAATGTTTAAGTATAGTTTTCACCTTTTGTTCATGCTCTGTTGCATTTATTTGACAGCAATAAAATTAGCTTTCATTAAAATTGCAGAAATATTTCATTTCCAAGCTTAATCTGAAACCTGAGGTATGTAGCTGTTGGGCTAGTGAGAATATATTAACATGATCAAAGCTTGAATGCTGTAACTTAAAAGTAACACTAATCTAACTTATAAAGCATTACATCTGAATGTAACCCCTGAGAGAGAACCTGTTCAGTTTTTGGCAACCCTCCTGTCAACTCAGGCCAAGACTCAGAGAGAAAAGAGAGAAGAGATTTGAGAAGTTAATGTGAGACAGCTGACATACAATACAGCAAACTGAACCCAACTTACATTTACAGTCATCAGACCACTCATCTGACCTCTTAAACTCTAACAGTCCATATATGAATAATTATATTGAATAATGCATAGAAGATCCAGAATAATTCATAAGAATAATTTAGACTGAATAATTTATACCGAGCAATTAACAATAGATACTGAATAAGTCATAATAGATACTGAATAAATCATACCAAATAATTTAAAGTAGATACTGAATACTTCATAGTAAATACTGAATAATGCATAATGAACATAGTAAATATTGAATAATTCATAGTAGTAACTGAATAATTCATACTGAATAACTTATTGTAGACCCTAAAAATTCAAACTAAGTGTGATATTGAATAATTCATGCTAGGTACTGAACAAATCATACTGAAACATTTATAGCATACACTGAGAACTTCACAGTAGATACTGAATAATTCATATTGAAAGAGAATAATTTACATGAAATGTCTTATAGTACTTAAAAATTCTTGATAAATAATTCATACTAGACACTGAATAATTCATACTAGATACTGACTAATTTAAATGGAATATTTTAAAGTACATTCTCAGAAATTCATACTGAATAATTAATAGTAGATACTGAATCATTTATACAAATATAATATATATATATTATATATATATATTATATATATATATTAAATAAATATTTCATATCACTAAATCATTTATAGTACTGAATAATTCATAGTACTTACTGAATAGATCATGCAGAAAATATTCATACTGAGTAATTTATTGTAGATGCTGAATAATTCATACTAGATACTGAATAAATCATATTGAACAATTTATAGTAGATAGTGAATAAAACATATTATGGATATTGAATAATTCATACTAAATACTGAATAACTGATTGTTGGTATGGTGTTGTGGGTAACACCTCTGCCATTTATGCTGTAGACTGGGTTTCAATCCCCACCTGGGTAAGTACCCTACACTATACCAGTAAGAGTCCTTGGGCGTGATTCCTAACAATACCTTCACCTACCTGTGTAAAATGATCAAATTGTAAGTTGCTCTGGATAAGTGTGTCTGCCAAAAATGTAAAAATAAATAATTTGTAGCAAATACTAAATAATTCATACTCAATATTTCATAGTAGTTGCCAAATCATTCATAGTAAATACTGAATAGCATTAAAGTTACTGAATATTTCTTAGTAGTTATTGTATAATTCATAATAGATACTGAATAATTCATATTGAATAATTAATCATAAATACTAAATAATTTACACTGAAAAATTCATACATAATGCTAAATAGTTCAAAGATGCAGTGGTTTGCACAATATTTGTCCAGCATGCACAAACTATATATCATCATCTGACACTAAATTTGTTTTCAAAATCTGAAAAAAGTCTAACATATAATGTGAAACCCCTAAATACGTTTTTTTTTTTTTTGTATGTTTGATGACAGAAAACAGAAGCACCACAGGCTGGAGAAACTTCAGAGAAGTTTTATTTGTTCAGGTACAACGATCTTCCTGAGAAGCCTGAAATTCTGTTTGAACTCATCAGCCCATAAATAAATTACACATTTCAACACTGGAAAAACAACAACAACAACAGCAATGTTGTTCTGTTTACAGTACAAAAATTCTCTTCATTATTCTTCTCACAAAGTTTACGACACAGAGAGTTTGATCATCAGAAAGCACCTACAGAAAGCCATGCTAAACACACCAGACAAACCTTACATTCTGAACAGGCAGAGCAAAACGAGCTCAGAGAGAGAGAACAAACACCTAAACCAGCACTCACATCTACAGCGACTCAGCCCTGCACCCCTTCCCCCGCCGGACACTTCATACAGGAGCTGAAGCATCACAGCTTCTCCACATTTCTTCATCCAGCACACTCAGCTTTATCAGCCAGGGTCTGCAGTACCAGTCAATAAGTTTGGACACACACTCTTAAAAAAGACGGTTCTTCAAGGGTTCTTCAGTAAAGACAGAACCATTTGCATAGATAGAGAATACGTTGTATATGGTTCTATTTAGAAAAAGGATCTGAATAGCACCAAAAAAGGTTCTACTGCTGTTATGATTTCAAGCTTGTAACAATAGAAGAAACAATTTTGCTGCTATATAGAACCATATACAACACATTTTCAGCAATCTGAAGAACCCATACAAAGAGCTCTATAATCATGCAAACTGTTCTTTGAGTGTTCATGATTTTATACAGAACAACTGTCTTTACTGAAGAACACTTGAAGAACCATCATTTTTAGGAGTGTACATAGGAATTATGTAATAAATGTTAAAGTCCCTGAAGTGTCTAGTAAGTAAGAGTCGTGACTGCAGTGACTGCCCCACAAAAGATTGGTTCTTTAAGTGTTCTTTAGGAAAGGCAATGATTATATAAAACCATGACAACTTAAAGAACCATCTAAATGCATAAATAGTTCTTTGCATGGTTAAAGGGTTCTCTGTGATGGAAAACCTTGCATAATGTCCTTTGGTCTTTAAAAAACCTTTTGAAAAATGGTTCTACTTAGCACCAAAAAGGGTTCTGCTAGTGTTAAAAGTTGTGTGGTACTCTAAGCATGACTTTTAATGTATGAGTAAAATTTAGAACCCTTTATAGAACTCTTTCCTAATAGTTATGGCCCACTTTTAGGGGACTCTTGGTATTCCCTGTATTGTGGCTGAGAAAAAAATAAATATATATATTTTTAAACATTTTTGTTTTGGGGCTAAATTCATATATGGGCATCAACTTTAGCATTTAGCATGCAAATTTAACATGAAATAAGTTTATGCATCCTCTACAAAGAACACACTTTCTTTGCTGAATTGAACATATTAGAAAAATTTTAAGCATAAAATATGACTTATTCCCAGACCTTAGGACATAAAAAATAGAAATTGTGCATTAAAATTGGCAGAAACACTTAGGTGTGAGCCTATTTTCATGCAGAAAATCCACAAAACATTTAGACCGACCAGTGTCCAAACTATCACATATGACAGTAGGCCTTAAAATCAGGATTTTTTGAGATTATACTAAACAACTTTTTGATCAGGTGGCTCCAAACTTTTGACTGGTGCTGCAGATTAACTGGATAGTAATGACAAGAGTCTAAACTGACTGGACGGGACTGAAAACCTGACCTTTACACACATTCAAACCTTTGCTAACAGGCCATAAATGTTGTATTAAAAAAGCAAGGCACATTGATTCATCTCATTATAAATCACCATCAAACAGGAATGACTTTAAAATGTCGATAATCTGCTGCTACACAAATCACAGATATCCACGAGCACGCGCATGTCACAGGAACGAAGTAGAAAAATCTCAACAATATGTACAAGGTTGTCCTTGAAAGCCTTTAAAATGCAACAGTGAAGAAGACGACAAAAAATTACTTTTAACTTTTAAATAAATTACTTTTGTAATGCTTAAAGGGAAAAATCACTTAAAACATGAACAGATTCAATGTCCAATTTGTTCCACTAAGCAAACAATTGGAAATCTGACATATTTGGTCCAGGTTAATAATTTAAAAATGCATAAAGAACCCCCAAATTCCCTTTTGTTTGGTTTAAATCACAACGTGTGACCAGGCTAGGCTGCACTATGATGCTAGCAGCTGGGAGCGGATGCTATTTGAGCCTGCTGTGTCCTTACTTAGCTCCAAACATCACACACATGAACATGACCCTCACACATACATGTTAGCTGAGAAGTGTCAACACTATGCCCATAGCTCCGCCCACTCTGAGCTGGAAATATGAGCAAAGGAAGCTGTTATATAAGAGGATAAACTTTTGTTGCTTAACTTTCATAGGAGCTGCTGTCCCTTCCAAAATATCAACACACAGTCATGTTAGCATGTGTAGAACTATGTTATTGTGTGTAGAACCTTGTTGGTATTTGTAGAACCATGTTAGAATGCCTAGAACCATGATTGCATTTGCAAAATCATGTTAGCATGAGTAGAACCATAATAAGCATGTACAGTTAGCATGCGTAGAGATATGTTAGCTTGTGTAGAGCCACGCTAACATGTTGATAGATATGTTAGTATACCATGTTAGCATGAATAGAACCATGTAGAGAGAAATGTTAGCATATAGAGAGATGATAGCATGTGTATAACCGTGTTAGTATGTGAAGAACCACGTTAGCATGTATAGAGCAATGTTAACATGTATAGAGTCATGTTAGCGCGTAGAGAGATATGTTAGCATGTGTATAACCTTGTTAGTATGTGAATAGCAATGTTATAATGTACAGAGCCATGTTAGCATGTATAGAGATATGTTAGCATGTGCAGAATGATGTTAGCATGTACAGAACCATGTACAGTGATGTGTGAAACATGTGTAAAGATTCGTTAATATGTGTGGAGCCATGTTAGCATGTAGTTGTATGATGAGACTGTGGTGGAATGAGGGTAAATGGAGGGTGAAATGACTGAATATCATACTTGTGGACACAAATACGGGTCTTTCTACCAGCGCAGTGTTGAATGGGGTCCAACAACTTTGAAGTTGTGAAAATGAACAGCCACAACTTCACAGATGATCAAGTTTTATTTTTATGTGAAACAGCAATTTTGATGCTTGTTTTTTGGTTGAAATTGTCTGTTCTGCAGAGGTGAAATTCCCCCATTGTGGGACTAATAAGGGTAACTTAATCTCAATCTTAATCTTTTTACATTTCTAATTTGGCTAAAATGCTGACTGTGATTTTAAAATTGAAATAAAATAACGTGCAATATTTGTAATGTTCCACAATGTGATTTTGAAAGTGAAGAATATACAGTGGAGGATATTCTAGAAAATCTCAGACTTTAGTAATGTTGTCAGTGGTGTTATAACTTTATGCATGTGGTTCAATATAACAGAATTACACCAATATTAATACGCTGTTTGCCCCCACACTGGTAGAATGACCCATATAGAGGCTGAAAAGTAACCAGAAAATATAATGTGATCACATCATACTGGAGAAATGGAGAGAACTGACAATCTTTGAGAACATACAGTGAGGTCCAAAAGTGAGACTACTGGTGAAAATTCTTCTATTTTGCGTTCTTTTCAAATGCAATAACATTTTTTTTTTTACAAACTCTATTATCAGTAGAGCAATTTGAGTGAACAATAGAATTTTTTCAATTTTAAGATGAATTTCAGAATTTCTTAATATTTGTCCCCTTTTTAATTTCTACTCTTTTTTAAATCTGTTGTTTTAGTCATGTTTTAGTCATGGTCAATTTCACACATTTGAACTGTGATCCAGAATTTGTAATATTTCTTCTACCTTTCCCTGTCAAAGCTTTTCTTTGCTTTAAAATTTTCAAAACTCTTTTAACACTTTTCATTGTTTATTTGCAGGATTAAATAAAAACAGTAATAATAAAGTGGTCAATAAAGTGGTCTCAGATGTTTGGACCCCGCTGTGTGTGAGCGGTTGTCTGGACGAAGGTGAAAGCTTGAGTGATAGTGAGTGTGAGTGGAAATTGTGAGGTTAGACTGCAGTCACGACTCAAACCCATCCGGTCAAATCTCCCAGCATGCCATAGGCCGCCTGTAGTTCACATCACATCATATCTTTATCGGTCATGTGATGCCATACTGGCAACGGCGGGCACAGCTGAGAAATCTGCCCGTCTTTAAATAACTCGGCTGAGAGGGAGTTCCACTCGAACAGTGTCAAGAACATTTAGAACTTGGAAACAAAGACAGGCACACATAAATAAAACCCTCAACGTCAAAATGGAACATTTCTGACACCTTTCCAGCAGGTAATAAAGCAAAAACAAAACAAACAAAAAAACAAACGTTAAGAATCTCAGCCGGATTAGACTGAGAGGGAAAAATGATCAATTGTACATCGTCCTCCGGCTCACCCCGATCGAGGATTTTAAAGTATTCTGAACGAAGGACGTTTCTTTCGTCTCAAAGCTGTTACTGTGGGCTGTTTGGAGTCTGGCAGTGGACGGAGATCAGAGGTCAAAGGTCAGACGGGCTTTGTTAGATCACCTCCCGACTGTTCCGGATTGCACAGCACAGCACCATGCTAAAGATCATACCGATAATCTGTGGAGAATAAAACACATTGTAAAAAAAAGACCACCTAATAATAATTAATTCATAAGAACTCATAGTAGATGCTGAATTATAGCAGACACTGAATAATTCATAGCAGATGCTGAATAATTCATAGTAGATACTGAATAATTCACAGAATATATCATAGTAGATACTGAATTATTCATAGCAGATACTGAATAATTCATAGCGGATACTGAATAATTCATAGAACTTACTGAATAATTCACAGAAGTTACTGAATAATTCATAGCGAATACTGAATAATTCATAGCTAATACTGAATAATTCATAGTAGATACTAAATAATTTATAGTAGCTACTGAAAAATGTATTTTAAATGCTGAATAATTCATAGTGGATACTGAATAATTCTTTCTAGATGCTGAATAATTCATAGAATATATCATAGTAGATACTGAAAAATTCATACTGGATACTGAATAGTTCATAGTACAGGCCAGACAATTTATTGTGAATACTGAAGATTAAAGTTTCAAGAGTAATAAGTGTTAATAATAAATCCAGAGTTTAAGAGGTAAATGTGTAATATCAGTGCAGTGAAATGATGAAGGTGGTATTACCATGACTCCAGCGATTCCGATTCCCACATATCCAATAATGAAAAGCTTACTGTTGAAAAACTCTTCAATGGCTGATTCACAGTCCTGTAGATTATAAAATTCATAATGACTAAACTGAAACGTCCACTTTAGCCTTTTCTGTGTTATATGAACAGAACCTAGTCCTACTGTACTACCTACTGTAGTGAAATTACAGTATTGTGAAAGAAAAATTATAGAAAAGGGTTAATAAAGAGAAAGGTCATTATAGAAACACATTATTACAGAGAAAGATCATTACAGAGATAAATCAGCATATTGATAAATCATCATAGAAATTGGTTACCTTAGTATCAGGGGGGATATTGGGGCACTGGGTGGACTGAGTTGAAGGAGTGCCGCAGCAGTTCAGCTACAGCACAAATAGAATTGTTTTATTAGCCAATTATATTCTGTATACACACAGAAAGTATAATAAATACATGAGTATACAGGCTGTGCAAAAAAATGCAGTGTTTTTCACTGTTGGTTTCGGCTGGTCAGATTTAAACCCTATAGAGAATATTTCTTCTCACATTAAACTCAAACTAGCTTCGCAATGTTTTTCAGCTGTTTGAAGCCGTCAATGCTGAGAGAATCAATACTGACCCTTCTGTCTGCAAAGTTACACACTAAACTTTAACATTTAAAGAAATGAAAATGACTGTAATATCAGCGTTTCTCACCACATGTTAATCACCAGTTTGCACTTTCGCTGTGCATAAAAGCACAAACAGGTCCAGTGAGTTCAGTTCTATGCATGTGGTGTGATCTCTGAGGAGATCTGGGAGTTTGAGTTCTTACTCATCGCTGAAACTCATTATGTGTGTTATTCTCTCTCTTTGGCTTGTGGTTTAGTCTGAACAAAAAAACAAAAAAATTCTGTGACAAACTGATGTTAAATTTGTGACGCTCTCCATTTTAGAGATCTGTTAGGATTTTAAAAGTCGTGTAGTGCAGCCCAGCCTAAAAGTATCCACTTAATTATGCAGAATATGGTATGTATTTATTGTGTTGTTCTGTGTTTAGCAGGAGTTTGTGGTCACCGTGAGGGTGAAGTGTATGAGTAGTGGTGACCTCCCCTCCAAGTTCATTATTTTGTGTGTGCTTTTCTGCTCGTGTTTAATAAACAGCACGTCTTGTTGTGGAATCATGGCCTGTCCTGTGTCCTACTCTACACTGATGCTATAGGATAAATAAACTGTGCGATACTGTACAGGTCAGTGTGGAAAAAACAGCTTGAGATTATTAAAAAGCCATACTAAGTATAAAAATGTCCATAATAATGAATAATTACAGTGAGACTTACAATTCTGTGGTAGCTGGAGGCAACGACAGTGTTGTTGCTGTTTGTGTCTTTAGCAGATTCTTTATAAAATGTCTGAATGTCCTGAATTATCTGTTGGAGAGAGAGAGAAAGGAAAATTATATTATTCTGAACAGTGGAAACGACCATTAACTTCTTCTTAAGTATATTAGTGAGTAAAGTAATCTACTTTGTCCGTAATTCTTTTCAGCCATCAGTATATTTACTCCCTAATTCTCTTTAATTTCATCCTGGTGTGCAGGTTCAACTTCTATGTTGCTTTACCATTGATCACTCCTCTTATTTGGAGTTTTAGTGTTTTTTTAGACCAAAAACATCCATAACGAGAAGAACAGACTTCAGTTCTTACACAGTTTCTTACTTGAATTTTAAATGGTGCTGCTGTCACACTCTGGCACCTGAGATGTTTGTAATTCATTTGTAAATATGGGGTTATGAAATTGCATCTAAATAATTATGTAATGCACATTAAACATAGAGCAAAATGACGAGTAACTCTAGACCTAGACCTCTCGTACCTTGTCTTTATTTAGGAATCCGAACACGCCAGCAGCAACTTCTGCCCCAAAAATGATCAGCAGGCAGGCGAAGAACTGAAATGAAACAAAGATTTAGTCACAGACGGTAACCCAGGGTTTAGGGCTGCACAATATGGACCTAAAATGTGATGTTTTATATATGATCTGTCTGATATCATGATGATGATATGAGAAGCACTAAATTATTATTAAAATAGGGCGCCTTGAACTGGATGTGACGCAAGGTTTTTTTTGGATGTGTAAACAGAAATATAATCCACTACATTTGGTGTAAGGGGGGAGGAAACTGGGCAATAGGCAGATTTCAAAATAAAAGCCATTCAGCAATTGACGTAATGTAAGAAAATTATTATTATTGTCATGTTGGTCACATACTACTATTTCATGTCGTGGTTAAAATGACCTCAGATTGTCTTTGATGTGTATTTTCTGTGTGTTTGTTTATGCATTTTGGCGGGTTTTGAACATTTTTTTTTGGCTGGAAACGATAGAAGCAATCTGGCAACCAATGGAGAGGAAGTGTTTGTGTTGGACTCACCGAGCCAAGCAGACACTGGGACTCCCTCACTGCCCCACAGCATCCGAAAAAACCCACCAACATCACCAGACCACCGGCCACAATTAGGATATACACACCTACAAATAGAGTCAGAGTTTAAGGCCAATTTAACTAGCAATGACCTTCATCAGAGAGCCAAATCTGCAAAATTATCAAATATTACATGCGAATTCCACAGATTTTTCAAATATTCTGCATAGTTAAATGATCAAGATGTAAACAGAGTCGTTCAGAGTGGTTTGGTGTGAAATGCTCTATTCTAGAGAAGCTTACCAAGTCAGAAATTTCACAGTGGTGGTGACAGGAACCAGACATCCACCTCTAAATGCTCTCTCACAGAAAGTCATTACATGAAATGGTTATGAATACACTGCCTGATGTCTGAAATATTGTTTTGCGAAGATATTGGTGTAAAAAGCTAAAATAGTTCCCAAAAGAAAACATAATATTACAGATTTTTCCACTATTTTCCCATCATCAACATTTCATATAAAACTCAGAAGACAAGTGTAGGTTCACTGGTGGTTTTGGATAGTAAATAAAATGTCTATATTTGTGTTGTAGTCATGGCGACCACTGCTTCCTATCACCACCACTGTAAAGAAATCTGAACAATTTCACACCAAACTACTTTGAACCACTGTGTTTATAAACACTCAATAATGGGGGAATTTTGAGAAATCAGTGAAATTCACTTTTAATAACTACAAGAGAAAGAGAAAGCTGTTAATATTGAAACCTGAAAGTGATTTAATAAACATTCCCCTGTTTAAATAGTATTTAACCAATGAGCTTCATATGAACGAAATAGTTTGGTAAAAAAAATGAAATGTACAAGCTTCTACTGCTGCTACTGTTTGTAGCTTTATGTTCATGTACCTCAACCCATGTTTATAGATAACAGTGTTTCATACAGTGTCAGAAACCACATAATCAAGTCTATCAGAGATACTGAACACCTCCACACAGTATGAGACAAGTAACGATCTAGCAACATGCTAATTGGTGTAGTAAAAGCTTTCATCACAAGTCAGCAACATTAGCCTCATAGTTCAAGTGCTAAACATTCTCAAAAATGAAAGTGACACTTTAACATGTTATGTTATATATTTTAACACATTTTGTGTCATATTGTGTTATAAACGTATAAAGCAAACCTTGAAAGTCAAACATATCTTGACTGATTGACTACATTTGCAGAAAAATGCATCGCTTTAAGAAATCTCAGACATGCCGAATTCATGCTAGTGTGCAGTCTTAGAGGTGTAATTGCATAACTCGGACAGAAGAGGGAAGCAACAGAACACTAAATGAGAAGGAGGACACAAACTCCCTCTGAGGCAGAGCAGGAGCATGAAGAGATGATGAAAAAGGATGATATTATTAACCTCCGTCAACCCCACCTTCATTCTTTCATCATATTTCCTTCCTCAAAGAGAGAGAGAGTGAGAGAGAGAGAGAGAGAGGGAGGGAGAGAGAGACAGAGAGAGCTTCTCTAAGGAGCTACCAGATCACCCTGAGTTACACCTGTTTACATTGTTTACTTATATATGTTGTTATTTACTTTTCTGTTGTTTGTTTACATATTCTATAAAAAAACCCATCAAACATACTACATAAACTTGTAAATGTCTAGTTTCTCATTAATCATGTTTATCTTCAGCACAGCTACATGATTATCAGAGTATCTTCTCGCTATGAAGAGCAGCTTTTGTCTAAATAATGTTTTGACAGTTTTCTTTTCTAAACTATTTTTAAAAGCTCATACTGAAATTCTTCTAGTAATCATCAATAATCAAGATCTAATGGGTTCTAATAGATGACTGAATAGGTTGCTTGCACTTTTTTAACCGATTGGACATACAGTTTTCATACAGTACTTGTTAAAAGATGTTTCTTCCTACTGTAAAGTAATGGTGAAATGTTCTGAAATATCAAAAGTGACTGCTACATACAGACTACTGCACCTGTATACACACATAGGAGCAACCACTATGGATATCATAGCAACAGCCTGGCAACACCTTAGCAACTGCCTGTGGTAACATAGCAAAGGCCTCATACCACCTTAGCAACCAGCTGGCATACCACAGCAACAGCCTAGCAAGACCTTAGCAATCGTCTGGGATACCACAGCAATGGCCCAGCAACACCTTAAAAACCACTTGGAATATCATAGCAGCTGTCTAGCAACATCTTAGCAACCGCCTGGTATAGCAGAACAACAGCCTAGCAACATCTTAGCAACCACCTGGAATACCATAGCCACAGCCTTCAACATCTTAGAACCACCTAGGATACTATATCAACAGGTGAATGACACCTTAGCAACCACCTAGGATACCACAGCAACAGCCTAGCCACACCTTAGCAACCGCCTGGGATACCACAGTAACAGCCTTCAGCATCTAAGAACCACCTAGGGTAGTATAGCAACTGTTGAATGACACCTTAGGAACCACCTGGGATACTACAGCAACAGCCTAGCCACACCTTAGCAACCACCTGGGATACCACAGCAACAGCACAGCAACACCTTAGCAACCTATCTCACCATCAAAGTCACCACTAAACAACCCTCTAACAACAAGCTGGAATACCACAGCAACCTCATAGCAACACCACGGCAACTACCTGGAATTACTGTATAAACCCAATTAAAAACAGTCAGCCGTGTTCTACCACTGCTTAAGTGCTATTAGTGGCTTTTTCAAACTTCACAGACTTTTCTTTCTAGTTTGTAATAAAACAGTTTGACAAGCTTACAAGGCAAACTACAGGATTTGGAAATGTTGCAATGTTGCAGTGTTTGATGTGCAAGTCTAACAGCTCTCATTGGCTGAATCTCAAACGGCTCTGTCACTCCCTCTGCAGTGCACTAAGTAGGTCATGAACTAATGAGTTCCAAATAGCATGTCATGTGTGTAACAGAAATTAATTTGGGATTCAGTCACAGGCTACACGGCTCACTTTTTAACATTTACCACACTGCCTGAGGCGACATGGAGCTGATTGTGAACATTCTTAACTTCTAACCCCCCATATCATACCTGTTAGAGTAAGGCAGAAGTTTATCAGTGAGTAAGATCCTGTTTTTTGCACTCTGTTTCATCCTTCATATTATAACAGAGGGTTAAAAGAGTGACACGATTCACACATCAGAACTCTCATGTTAGTAAACATGCAACTTAGTTTGAAATAAAAAATAATGCCTGTCTTGCTGTGTGTCAGAGTTTTTAACACTCAGCATGAATCCAAGAGAACAGAAGATCAATGAAAACATGGCTTCCTTATGCTAATCATTTATTTTTACTCAATAATAATGACCAATAGAATAAACCACCATCAAAATTCTTCCATTTTCAGCTTACAGACACTCCAGACTAACAATTTCTGAAAAGGTTTCATGTTTTCAAAATCTGCATCAGCAAAAACTTCAACATTTAAAAGGCGCCAAGTACATTTTTAAGCCAAATTCATACAGATATCAAAATTCTGTTAGCATTTTCATGTCAAATAATGACATATCTGAGTAGCCCAGCGTCTCCAGAAAATAATATATGGCATGTGTGACTGTCTCATGAAAATACTTAATGGCAATTGTAATTGACCAAAATACCTAAACAATTACACCATATTTTCTTACAATTCTTAGATTTAATAGTGTTTTTTATAAGACAATTTTTTCTAACTGATACAAATGATAAATTTAAAAACACTGCATACTTGATGGAGACTCTAAGCCCTCATTTATAGAATTCTCGCTGTGTCTGGAACACGACATTCCAGTCATTCTTAGACTTTTTGGCAGAATCTAAAATGTCCACTTCTTATTTTATTATGAGAAATGGACTCCTGCTCTATTATTAATTAATATTTTCCGTTCTGACCCTTCTGCCCTCTAAACTCATAGAAAAACAAAGCGAGGTCAGAGGAGACGGGACAGGCCATCAAAACAGTGTGTGTGTTCGCGTTTTCCTTCCAAACCCGACCTGCCACGTTCAGATAACATTTACACGGTTGCTATGGCAACCACGGAAACAAGTGTGTGTGTGTGTGTGTGTGTGTGTGTGACAGAGCAGAATGAGAATGTGTGCAGCGTCATTTCCACAGAGTGCAGCTCTACAACGCAGACTCAGGACATCAAGAACAAGCATTCTTTTTCTCGAGAGGGGAACCCTCAGAGCTGTCTAGATCTTCAGAGAGATTTCTAGAAGTCTAACGTTTAGTTCATGTTTATTTAATAGAATCATCATGTTTTTGTATTTAATCTCTAAGTATAGTAATAATGCTCTTATTTCAGTGTTTGTTTGTTTGGGTTAAAATCTTAAAACATGCAACAGAAAATCGTCCAATCAGGGTTGTTCTCTCTGTGGTGTCTAGGCAGATTTATCTGAGCGAGCTCTCCTGCAGGCCCCACACATTAGATTAACTACCAGTGTAATTAGGAAGTGTCAGAGGAGCTAACCAATCACACTTTGATTTACAATGGGAGGGACCTAAAAATGTCCTGGGGTTCTAGATATGTCACTGACTGTGAATCAAGCCATAGTCTAAGCAGGCTTCAGCTAGTTGTTAGGAAAAACAGCAGCATATATGTTCTACATGAGTTGGTTTGTCTCAGATTAATAAAGCCAACTTTTGCCTACTTTTATCTGCAAGGATCCACCCAGATACATAAGCCCCACCCCCTGCCCACTTTACTCTAAAAGGACACACCCACATACATAGGCTTTGCCCCTGACCAATTTGCTCTGCTAGGACACACCCAGACACATAAGCCCCACCCCCCTGCTCACTTTACTCTGATAGGATGCACCCAGATAAACAGGCCTCATCCCCTTCCTACTTTACTCTGTTAGGACATGTCCACACACATTAGCTCCACCCCTTTCTGTCCACTTTACTCAGCTAGGATGCACCCAGACAATCAAACACCACCTCCTGCCCACTTTTCTCTGCTAGGGTGCACCCAGATGCCTAAGCCATGCCCCCCTGCCAACTTTACTCCGCTAGGATGCACTCACATACATAGGCCCGCCCCCTTCCCACATTTCTGCTCACTTTATTCTGCTAGGACACACCCAGATACATAAGCTCCAGCCCTTTCTGCTAACTTTACTCTCCTAGGATACACTCAGATAAATAAGCCTTGCCCCTTTCTGCTTACTTTACATTGCTGGGATGCACGAAGATTAATAAGCCACGCCCCTTTCTGCTCACTTCACTTTGGCAGGACACAACCAGATAAATAAGCCCCACCCCTTTCTGCTCACTTTACTGTAAAAGGCTGCCCAGTTTTTAAAATTAACAGTGGTTTCAGTGAAAGGTGGTAAATGAGGGACAAATCAGTCAAACAGCTTTACATTTCCATTCACTGATTATACGGGATCATTTATACTGTTAATCAATACTGTACAGAAATTGGTGTCTTTACTCACTTTGGACAGTAAATGTGTTATTCATGTTTAAATGATGTATGTATTTGAATCATTTGAAAGCAAGTTCAGTTAATGAATTTCAGGGCACCTTAAATGCTCAGAAGCTGGTGTAGGCTGAAAATGACCCACTGCAGTTAAATATAGCTGTGAGTTATTTATGAGTCTGGACTGTAGGTGGACATTTAATGACCCTGAGTGGTCGGACAGAGCACGCTGCCTAAAGACACTTTCACTGTGCCAGAGTGACATCATCTCATCTCTAAGACTGGCTTTAACAGCAGGGGGCCAGTGAAAAAAGTATGATTGGCCAGTTGGTGTGGCTGATTTCAAAGACTGTTCCTAGCAGAGCACACCCTTTGCAGCGTCCTGTTTGCGGAGGAGCCTTCCTCTACAGCTAGCGCCAAATGATACAACCTATCATAACTCCTGACCCCGATAAGCGGTGCGGTGGAGTTTGAGGTAGTATTGTTGTGATTATGAAGAGATTCAACACAAAGCCTTATTTTTCTCTGTTTTCTGATCCTGACCATGAAACTGAAACTGACCTATCACCACACAGATTAGCTAACGATGTAACTGCCCATCTGCTGCAGCTCTGCTCAGCAGTGCAGTTCAGGTTCAGATTCAGCCTTAGCTAGTAATATTAGCTTGCTTTCACCTGTTTTATTTAAATTAAGAGCTCTGTTTTAGATTCAGCTGTTCGCCAGCTTCGCTAAGCTAACCCTCGGTTCCCTGACAAGTTTCTGTTTTATTGCAGCTACCTCAGTCCATAGTTTGAAAACAATGTCAAAAGAAGGAATATGAGGTCACTAAAAGAAAGAGGAGGTTATGCTTTGTTAGCTTGGAGCGTCCACACATGAAGCAGTTCATGCTGAACGTGAAGAGATGACTGAAAGGGGCAGACAAACGGAATGAGCTTTCAGTAAAAGATTACAGTTCCCACTGAATGTATTCATATGATTTAACATTAAATTATTTAAAACATTCTAAGAAGAAATTTAATCTGTTCTTTGTTGTTTCGGTGAATAATTACAATGAATATACTATTAATAAATACACAGTTTTATGGAAAAAAGTGTTTGTTTATTTGCTCTTTTTTTCAGGCCAGTAAAACTCTAGCTGCTTGAAATTCATGTGAAATAGAGTGTGTGACAGAGTTGTCTGTAGTTGTCGTCATGCCCGTATAAGGAACTTTGATCTAAGCAGTTTTCTCTATGGGAAAAATTAACAGCATTTTTGAAAATCTGATCTTTTATTGCAAATGAGGTTTCTTCCATACTAAATAAAAGATAACTTACTGAATCATTCACTGAATCACTCAATAAATGATTCACATGCCCACTCCTCACTAACTGAATCACTCATTCACTCACTTAATCACTCACATACTTACTGTACCATTCACTCGCTCACTGAACCACTCATTCATTTACTCACTGAATCACTCACTCACTCACTGAACTGCACTCACTCACTGCATCACTTACATAATCACTGAATCTCTCTCACTCTCTGAATCACTCAAATACTCACTGAATCACTCAAATACTAACTGAATCACTCACATACTCACTGAACCATTCACTCACTGAATCACTCATTCACTCAGTGAATCACACACATACTCACTGAACCACTTCTTCACTCACTGTATCACTCACATACTCACTGAACCACTCAGTCACTCACTGAATCACTCACTCATTCACTGACTGAACTACTTATTCACTCATTGTATAACTCACTCATTCACTGAATGACTCGATCATTCACTGTATCACTCACTCACTCACTGAACCACTTACTCACTTACTGAATCACTCTCACCTAACTCACTTTCTTTCCCTTCTAACTAAAAGCTCATACAGGAGTTTAACTTATTAGTCCTCCAGAAATTCTCCACAGTTTCACTCTCTCACTGTGTGGTGGTTTAGACTGGTTCAGGTAGTGACACAGGGGGAGCCGTTTAACTGTGTGTTTATTTATATCCGCAACCACAACTTCCTGTGCTTAACCCAAGCGAAGTGTCAACATCCTGGGTCACTCAACCTCTGTGCTGACTGAGAACTCACAAGCACTAAACCGCTGATGCTGATGTGGAGAGAGTACTTTAATAACTTCAATACATTTACATCATTAACTACTGTAATTTTATAGTAATTGTCAACACTGGCAACTACGTATTTATTTACTGTATTCTATCCAATCAGAATCATAATGCATTTTTCCACTGCATTTTCAAAAACAGAACTGAACGAAACAAGAACCAGCAGAACTTACAGTTCTAGTTCTAGCTCATTTTCCACTTGCATGAGAGACTGCTGGAACAGTCATAAGCAGTAATGTCAACCACTCAGCACTCAGTAGCAGTAATGCTAACCAATCAGCACTCAGTAGCAGTAATGCTAACCAATCAGTAATCAGCAGCAGTAATGCTAACCAATCAGCTCTAAGTAGCAGTAATGCCAACCAATTAGCTCTCATGGGTATTTGGTGCACACTGGTAGTGTGGACCCCCACAAGCAGATGAATCTGACTTTTGTGAGTGCTGAAAGAGAACTGAAAGAGAACTCAGTCTAAACTTGGTGAAGAATGCGTCTTTTGAGGATGCAAGTGAATTATCTGCTATTGTCATCACATCTTCATCAGTATAAAATTGATTTTGAAATCATTTAGGGTCTAAACTTTGAGCCGGACCTTCTTTTTGAGTCTGTGTGTGATGTTAATACATAAAGACATACCATGTGGTGTGAAAAACCCGACACCGCTGACTTTTAAATCATTACTTCAGGCTTTACAAGGCGACTTACAGCAGGTCACGACCACCATATTTTAGTGTGTTCTTTTTTATCTATGATCAGTGATGCTATATATCATAAATATTTTTACAATGTATGAAATTGGCCAAAAAATGCATTTGTTGAATATAGATTTGTTCAGTTGTGTGTAGTTGTAATAAAGGTTACAGATGTAACTAAACGGTACTGACTTCTGTGATCTGCATTGTACTTTACATTAACCATGTGCATATGTAGTAAGACACTCACACGCAATGTATTTCAATTAAACAAGATATCACATCAGAACTGCATTTTCACAGTGCATCAATACCTACAACACTTGCTTTTGTCATGTTAAAGGTGCATTTGATCATATTTAAAATGAAGCTACTGGAATACAAATTCATTTCAAAAGGTATCAAACAGTAAAGTGCATAAGACAGGATTTTGGCTGTTTGGCTGTATTTTTGAACAGATTTGATAAAAACATTTACATTCATTTATTTTTGTACAGTACATTTCTATGTGTAATATTTCCCCATACATTTTAAAATAAATGTATTTTAAAAAATATTTGTTTAATATGGCAATATATTCTGAAATACATTTTAGTGTTTGAATGTATTTCAGCATGAACTGCAATGTGTTTGAAATGTATTTCAAATATATAAAAATATATGTCCATATATTTTTTTATGTTTTTTCCATATGGGTTCAAAGAGGAAAACCTCTCTGTATTTACAACAGATAGTTTAATGTTTTATTTGTAGATGGACACAATTGTGTGTGTGTGTGTGTTTAGTGGGTGTGAATGTGTGTTTTGACAGATACAGATCATCATGTGATCTTTACACATCATATGAATGTGAGGCTTAAGCAATCCAACACATAATATAATATAATATAATATAATATAATATAATATAATATAATCAGGAGTTTGTCCGCCTTTGCTGCAATATCAGCCTCTACTCTTTTGGGAAGGCTTTACACTGGATGTTGAACATTGCTGTGAAGATTTGATAGAGCATTAGTGAGGTCAGGTACTGATGTTGGATGGTCAGTTCTGGATCACTCCAGCTCATCCCAAAGGTATTGGATGGAGCTCCATCATTCCAGAGCTCCACTGCTCCTCTGCCCAATGCTGTGGGGCTTTATACTCCTCTAGCCCACGCTTGGCTTTGAACATGGTGACCTTAGGATCAAGCTGCTCCAGAGCATCCCATTCTATTGGTCAGCGCTTCTCTATGGAGATTATACAAGCTGTGTCAGCAGTGGCAGCCTTTGCCTTTTTTCCCAGTGTAGGGCTTTAATCAGTTTGACTTGGATTTTTTTTTTTATGAATGGTGTCAAAACCTTTTTTTTTATTAGGAGGGTCTGAAGAGTGAGGTGATGGACAGTGTAAACAGGACAGTTTCACTCACCGATGAAGAAGTTTTCCGGTGCTCCATCGCTTCCCAGCAGGGCCACAGTGTCCTGTTCCAACCGCAACCATAAACCCACCGCTAACACCAGAGACCCCATCAGCTACACAGACAGAGAGATTAATATTATTATTATTAATATTATTATTATTATTAGACTATTAGAAAATGAGGCATCTGAGAAACTGCTGTGTAAAGCTGTGTATCTGGGCAGTAAACATTTAACAGTTAATAAGTTGCTGCTGCTATGAAAAACCTGAACTGCACATCATTTTACTCCCTCTCTCTCTCTTTTCAGTCTAGCCCTCTCTATCTCTCTCTCTCTCATTCTCTCTCTCCTCTCCCTGTCTCTCTCTCCTCTATCTCTCTCTTCCTCTTTCTCTCTTCTCCCTATCATTCCTTCCCTCTCTCTATCTGTCACTCTCACTACCTCCCTTTCTCTCCTCTCCCTATATCTCTCTCTACTCTCTTCACCCTATGCTTCACCCTATGTCTCCCTTCCTCTTTCTCACACACTCACTATCTCCCTTTCTCTCTCCTCTCCCTAGCTCTCTCACTCTCTCTCCTCTATCTCTCTTTTCCTCTTTCTTTTCTCCCTCTCTCTCCCTTCTTCTCTCTATCTGTCACACTCACTATCTTCCTCTCTCTCATCTCCCAAGCTCTCTAACTCTCTCTCCTCTATCTCTCTTTTCCTTTCTTTTCTCCTCCTCTCTCCCTCCTTCTCTCTATCTCTCACTCTTCTTTCCCTATCTCTGTGTCATTCCTCTGTCTCTCTCTCACTCACTCTCTCTCTCTCTCTCTCTCTCTCTCTCTCTCTCTCTCTCTCTCTCTCTCTCTCTCAGTGTCAGAGTGAGTAATGGTCACTGTTAGGCTGACCATTAAAGGAGAACTGGCCTGATCAGCTCTTGCTTTCTGTTGTAGTTAAATAGAGGAGCTGTATTAGATTGACTTTACACTGTAGATTGACATCATAACAATAGAAGAACCATTGTTGGTGCTATATAGAACCCTGTTAAAAATATAAAGCCATACACAGCACATTCTCCATCATACTGAAGAACCATTCCACCCTAGTAAGAACCCCTTAATCATGCTAATCGTTCATGGTTCTATATAAAGAACCATTTTCTTTACTAAAGAACCGTTGAAGAACCATCTTTTCTAAGTGTGTACCCTACTAAGTTATTTTATTTATTTATTTATATTACTGATGCGTCTAATAGTTAAATTTGACTCTTCGGATTTCTTAATCTTTTTTCTACTTTTTGTCTTATTGTTTTAATAATAATTTTTGGGTCTTATTTATTTTCTTTTTATACTTTTACTATCATAATTTTATATTATATATTATATATTATAAAATATAATGTATTATATTTTAAATTCTTTTATTATTGTATAATGCTCTACGCGAAGGTCACCCTCAGTTGATATAATATTTTTTGGCTGATTTGCTACATGTGATGATGATCATTTGACTATATTTGGCAACAGTTTTTGTCAAACTATTGCTTTAATCAGCCACTCCTGTGAATCTAAAGCTCCGTATCACTGCAGCATTGAGGATAAGCAGCAGTTTTAATGACACAAACATCATCATCACATCTCACCAAACCACCCCCCGCCACTGACCCGCCCCCCCACCATCTGCCTGTAACATCACCCTGCATTACATCACCTCTGTGCCCCTCCCTTTGCACCCTGCCCATCTGCCTGAGTCCCATTAAAAACCCATAAACCAGCACACAATAGAGCCACTGTGCGTCTCCCATTCACTGCCATCAGCTCGCTGTCTATTAATGATAACTGACAAACAAAGCCATTTAGTGCGTTTCAAATGCAGAGTGATGTCTGGAGTTTCACTTCTGCAGACAAATTGAAAACAAAATAAATCACTTCTGTTGCGGAAAAACGCGGTGCCCTAAACGAGAGGGCCAGATTTCTGAATAGAAGCCGTTTTTCCAGAGTGAACGACTCTCCGTGGCGTTTCTGGACGTGGACAGATGCTTTTACATGTGTGGAAACATTTGAGCTCTTTCAGCTTTATTGTGGATTTTTACATTGCTGTTAAATGGTCCACTGCTGAGGAAATTTCCACTGCTGCTCTTTAGCGTGCTGACGAATAGAGCTGTACAGAATACAGCAATAACATCAGGAACACACCCTCCCTTATGATTCCACACTGTAAACCCATTAGAGGCGGTGGATAAATACACAGGAAACTCTCTTATACACTGGAGTAGGAGATTTTCGACTATACACAAAATTAATAAACACTCCTATTCTCTAGAAAATGAGATATTAGTCCATTAACAATCTCAATAAATGCTCCTATGTATGAGAAGAGACAATATTAGTTCATAAATGACCCTGATAAACACTCCTATACGCTAAAATAGGAGATATTAGTCCATAGATGACCCCAACAAACTCTCCTATATGTTAGGAGGTGTTAATCCACAAATGACCCCAATAAACACTCCTGTACGCTAGAATAGGAGATATTAATCCATAAGTGACCTGAATAAACACTCCTATATGCTAGAGAAGAAGATGATGGTCTATAAACAACCTAAAAAATTACCTATAAGCTAGAATAGGAGATATTAGTCCATAAATGGCCCCAATAAACACTCTTATACTCTAGAATAGGAGATATTAGTCCATAAACACCTTCAATAAACACTCTTACACTAGAATAGGGGATATTAGTCCATAAGCAACCTTAAAAAACACTCCTATATATTAGAATAGGAGATATTAGTCCATAAACACCTTCAAAAAAACACTCATACACTAGAAAAGGAGATATGAGTTTATAAGCAACCTCAATAAAACACTCATTTTGTCCCTCTTTTCCTTTAATGACAGCGAGCAGCTGCATGGACTCCACAAGTTTGTGTAGAAGTATCTGATCAGCAGATCAAACCCAGTCAGAACACAAGCTTCACTGGAAGAGATCAGGTTAAAAAAACTCTGAGCTTTTAGTACAAAAGGTTTCCTTTTCATTTTAACTGTCATAACTTTTCTTTATTTGAAATGTTTCAAGATTCTAAAACATCCTGTTGTTTATTTTTTAGGATGAAAAGAAAACAATCAGGAGCCTGATTGTTCTGGTCCAGGCTGTGTTTTCTGTCACCCAACCAGAAGATGGATTGTTTATCTGCTCTGTGTTGAAGCTCAGGAAACAACTAATCTCTCTAATGTCTTCCTGTGCTCTGAGAGGCAGGCTATACACACTAACATCATTACAGAGGATTTATAATGCTGTCATTCTCCATAGAACATATCCAGAACGCACTGTTCTCTCAACAGCATCAGTGTGCAGTAAATTCACTGCAAAGAATATCTTAGTCAGTTAATCTTAACTCCAGGCAATATTATCTAATACAGTGGGTGAAATAAGTATTGAACACGTCACAGTAAATATATTTCTAAAGGTGCTATTGACATGAAATTCTCACCAGATGTCGGTAACAACCCATCCAATCCACACATGCAAATCAAGCCATAGATGTCCATAAATTAAGTTATGTGTAATAATGAGAAATGACACAGGGAAAAAGTATTGAACACGCTTACTGAAATTTATTTACTACTTCGTACAAAAGCTTTTGCCGGTGATGACAGCTTCAAGACACCTCCTGTATGGAGAAACTAGTCGCATGCATTGCTCAGGTGTGATTTTGGCCCATTTTTCCACACAAACACTCTTCAAGTCCTCAAGGTTCCGTGGGCTCCTTCTATGAACCCTGAACTTTAGTTGCTTCCATAGATTTTCAATTGGATTCAGGTCAGGTGATTGGCTGGGCCATTCTAGCAGCTTTATTTTCTTTCTCTGAAACCAATTGAGAGTTTCCTTGGCTGTGTGTTTGGGATCATTGTCTTGCTGAAATGTCCAACCTCGTTTCATCTTCATCATCCTGTTAGATGGCAGCAGATTTTTATCAAGAATGTCTCGGTACATTTGTCCATTCATCCTTCCTTCAATTATATGAAGCGTGCCAGTGCCATATGCTGAAAAACAGCCTCACACCATGATGTTCCCACCTCCAAACTTCACTGTTGGTGTGGTGTTTTTGGGGTGATATGCAGTGCCTTTTGACCTCCAAACATGGTGTGTGTTATGGCATCCAAAGAGTTCAATTTTGGTCTCATCTGACCAGACTATATTCTCCCAGTATTTCACAGGCTTGTCTAAATGTTGTTGAGCAAACTTTAAACGCGCTTCAACATGCTTTTTCTTCAGCAATAGAGTCTTGCGTGGTGAGCGTGCATACAGGCCATGGCGGTTGAGTGCATTACTTATTGTTTTCTTTGAAACAATTGTACCTGCTGATTCCAGGTCTTTCTGTAGCTCTCCACAAGTGGACCTTGGCTCTTGGACAACTCTTCTGATAATTCTTTTCACTCCTCTGTCTGAAATCTTGCGGAGAGCACCTAGTCATGGCCGGTTTATGATGTTCTTTCCACTTCTGGATTATGGCTCCAACAGAGCTCACTGTTGAACCTTCAGTAGTTTAGAAATTCTTCTGTAACCAATGCCATCAGTATGTTTTGCAACAATAAGGTTACAAAGGTCTTGAGTGAGCTCACTGGTTTTACCCATCACGAGATGTTTCTTGTGTGGCACCTTGGTAATGAGACACCTTTTTATAGGCCATCAGTTGAACCAGCTGATATTGATTTGCACTAAGTGGCAGGATTGCTTTCTAATTACTGATAGATTTCAGCTGGTGTCATGACTTTCCATGGCTTTTTGCACCTCTCTTTCTTCATGTGTTCAATACTTCTTCCCTGTGTCATTTCTCATTATTACACATAACTTAATTTATGGACATCTATGGTTTGATTTCTTTGTCAATATCTGGTGAGAATTTCATGTCAATAGCACCTTTAGAAATATATTTACTTAGAAAATTGGTGATGTGTTCAATACTTATTTCACCCGCTGTATTTCTCCTCCATGAAAACCACAAGATTACTGAACTTATTTCTACACACTTTTCATTAAAGAGCCCGTATCTCACTTGTTGTTTGCATTTTATTTTCTCTCTGAGCTCCACTCATAATGTTTATGGTTTTATGTACCACAAACAGTCT